GGAACCGGAGGAACCGAAACTTTGCCCTTAAAATTGCCTTATTTGCCATAATTATTTAAATAATAATATTTACCAGGTAGAACAACCGCCCGTCGTGTTCTGCTGAAGACAAAAATTGTTCGCACAACTCCAAAATATTATTTACAATCACACAACATTACCGACTGGCGTCCGACGGCAAGAGATCCTAGATACACGCGAAACTGCCAAAACACACAAAACATTGAATTCCGAAGATTACATACGCGATAAATATTTATCGACTAAAACGAATTTACAACACGAATATCCATGTACTCGTAAGTGTTAATCGTTAATACTTGTCGTACAGAGTAAGAATTGCGTGCCGACTACACAACAACTGGGCTCGTCGACTTTCACTCGCCGGAATATTCTTTGCGAAAACATGCATTATTGCGCCATCTGAGGTTACTTTTGAGTACTTCAAGAAAATACAAATATCAAAGTGTGGCGTGCATATTAGGCTGTTAAACAAATGTTTCATTATTAATATCAATAAAACTTGAATCAAGAATTTGAATCACATATTTATGTAATATCTTATTACATTCAATGGAGAGAAAACAGCAAACACTCTCCTTTGCTCTTCCTTTTGAGGGTTTAAACAGATTTGATATTCTGAAATACCTTCAATCACGAAGTATAGATACACAGGAGACTGAACGTCGTGTTAAACGAATGGTCTCGGTCTAGGGAACAGAACATTCGCCGCTTTAGCGCGCCACTATTCTATTACAATTCTATTAGTATTCGTTTAAATCCCTACGTTGCTAAGGACACCGCCGGAAAAAATAATAGATAAAGTAAAGATATACAGGAATTTTATGTTAAACGAATTGTCTCCATATTGCTATGAACACGAACCAGCCTATATCGATACGTTCTCAAACCATGCCCAGCCAGTGGCAGAAAAGTGAACTATGATTTGTGTTTATAATTGTGTACCATGACTACTATGGAAAAGCCTATACTGTTTGGGCTCCTGTAAAATAACCCCAAAATTAAAATAACAAATCCATTAATACCACCTATCTAATTTTCTTTTTTGGCCAGGGACCTTCATACTACCTCATAATAAATATTCCTGAACATATTTATTATATTACATATTAACATAAGTTTAATCAATTGCTACAATTTGTGTTAAAATTTTATTCAGGTGGAATACCCAACTCCTCATCAGTCCACTTTGATGCATCAGGATACTCAAACTCACCCTGTAATTGAATTAAATAATAAATATATATACTATGTTCTTATGATTATATAAAGAACACAGGAATTTACCAAAATGTGTCCAGGTTCAGTCCAAAGATGCCAGAGGACCCACCACCATGCAAAACCACCAACAAATTCAGCTACTTTTATAGCATCTTTCTGGGGAGGAATGCATTCTCGGTAGTACCAGCTTAAATAGAAAATTAAATTAATACTCAAAGAAAGGAGATCCTTAGAGGTTATATTTTATTGGGCAGAAGGTAAAAGGAAACTCACTCATGGGATTTCCTGACTACTTGATTAGAAACAGTAGGTTTGGTTTTGATGGCGTTGGCCGCACGAATTAGCGCAGTGCCTCTGGATAGAAGCATTTTCCGTGTGAATTTTCCAAAATGAATAAAATTTTCCTGTTTTGACGTTAGTAAGACATATAGCGCTGTTACACAACAGTGCTGAATGCGCCTACTAAAAATTGAAACAGATTCAAAATTAGGAAACAACAGAATGCTGCATTTTCATTATTTTATATGTGTTTTATATTAACATTAATATGTATACCTTAAATAATTACATTCTTATTGGATTAATTATAATAACAGCTTTTAATCCCAAAGTGTGTTTTATATTGCAGTATGTTGGGTTGCGGATTATTTTGAAATGCACCGAGATCAACAGAACCTCACAAAAGTATCTAAATTTGTCATATTACCATTTTCGGTGGTTTGCGGTGGTTCTGCACCTGTGTTAATAATTAAGAGTTATCTGATACCGAAGCAAAAATGTCACAAATTTCATCGCAAGAATCACCGCATATGCAGCAAGTCGACCTTACGACTCTATCTTTGCCACAACTAACGCAGTTAAAACAACAATTAGACTCGGTATGTTTCTCTAACCTCGAAAACCAAAGTTCTTAAGATTTATTGAAGCTTCAATTATTAATGATACGTTTTTTGGGCAGGAATTAAATTTGTTTCAAGAGTCTCTGCAGTCGTTAAAAATGGCTCAAAATAAATTCAAACGTTCCGGCGAGTGTTTAGGAAAGATCACACCTGAATGTGAAGGTAGAGAAATACTAGTTCCTCTTACTGGCTCGGTAATATTTAATTTTAACATAAACATAGGAAAAGAATAATTATTTTTGCATTTGTTTATTTAGATGTATGTACCTGGCAAGGTAGCCGACTCAAAACGCGTTATCATTGATATTGGCACAAGGTATTATGCAGAGAAAGATATCAAAGATGCATCTGACTACTTCACAAGGAAAGTAAAGTTTGTGACTGAACAAATGGAGAATATTCAGGTCCTGGGATTGGAAAAGAGCCGAATTCGTGATACCATTATTGAAGTTATGGAATTGAAGCTATCACAAATGCAGCAACAACAAGGCCAAGCAGGGCAGAGCTGAAGAATGCAAAATGAATGAATCATCTCACCTACACATGAACAATAAAACTCAATGCTTGTCACATTTATTTCTCAGTTTGCATATGCATTTGTAATATTCATTAGGTATGTATTAAGTTTTGACTTAAGCCAAATATTTTAATTTTGTGTTAAGAAACATTGCAATCTATTTCAAAATAAAGCTGATTGAAACTACTTTTTGCACAATTGTTATCTTTCAGCAGCTAATATTAGATAGTTCATGCAAATATCAAATTATACAGGAATTTGCATGAATATTAATATTCTTATATTTCTAAATGCTTTTATATTCCTTTAATTTTTTATTACAATTATTATTTTTGTTCATATATAATTAAATTATTCATTAATTAAGAAAAATCCGTTTTTAAACAAATTTCAACTTTATGCTAATTAGAGAACTGATTAATTACATTTGTAGATCTAAATCAGTATCATGTAAATACCCAATTAATTATTTCAATGTGTGTTTGTAGAAAGTAAGGCAAGAATATGCTGCTTTACCAACCTGTAAGCAAATGCGATATATTTTCCTTTGAAATACTTAAATATCACGAAATATACCTGCACTAAATTTTCATTTGAAAAATGGGTAAACCCGGCCAAAACAATAGTGAAATTCTTTTTCGTGTACAAATTCATCAACTGCAAATTTCTCGCAGTGACTAAATCACCGTCCCAAGGAATACAATGAAAGGTTGCATATTGGAGCTGTTCACACTAAAAATAATTGTTGTAATCTTATTTCAAAAAGTAAAGCTATTTAATACGCTATTTTCTAAACGACAAACTATGGTTGCGCCGGTAAATCCAATCACCCCAATCATCAACAATAATCCAACCAGAATGAACTGAACTTCCTATAAAAAGTTTCAAAAAATCAACATTATTAGCTATTTCGTCGATTACTACAGACATTTTAATTTACAATTAATAATGCGATGCCAATAAGACCAATGTTTACACCGGCAACAATCAAGATGCCAAAAAGTGGATATTGAAAAAGATCGCAAATTCGTTTCCAGAACAAGATCACAAAGCAATGGTGGCCAACGATATGTGCAAGATTGCGATGTCGTCGCGCAATGTTTAATTCGTATTTTAAAGCAGCTAATTCCTGCTCTATCTCCAAGCAGTTAAACTCCAGAAAACATATAAAACAGAAAAAGCAAGAAATCAAACTCCAAATCAAAATTACCCCGAAGATCAATTCAAGTAGTTGCAGTAATTCCACTACATAGTGCCACGGGCTGTTTCCAATGTCCATCAAATAGTACTGAAAATTTCCTGATATAAAATTGAAACGTATATAATTGTGCTTATATATATTATACATATGGAAATAAGGGTGTGATATTCTCATTGAATTGTAGCATGATTGCATTCAATCCGAACAGAAATATCCAGAAAGCAGTTGCGCTAACTATGATTAGCAGAAGTGCACGATTATGCAACATGTGATTGTCGAGCAATGCTGGATGGTCGAAAGGTACGTACGAATTTGTATCCAGCATATGGTAAATGCTTTTGGCCCCATTTTTTTGAAGTCGAAAGCACATTATCATGAATATTCCCGTTACATATGTCAACATAACCGCAAGACTTGGGGCGGAATCTTTAAATTCTTTACCATCGACTAAAACATCTAAGTTAACGCCCTGAATTTATTTTTTTGGTGGAAACATACTTAACATATTAGCATTGTAACCAATCATGCCACATACTACAAATATAGGGTTTATGTAATACATGAACAATAGAAATGGTTGAGCCAGTTTTAAATCATTCAAGTAGAATTTACTCAATACAACACCACAAATTGAGACGTCTACAACACGCGCTGGGCGTTTGAATGTGAATTCCCAGATATAATTTTGAAGGATTTTTAGCATCTTGCCGTGTTAATATCGCACGAATAAATAAAATAGTCTTACCGAAATGTAGTATATATTGACGTACTTCTAATGATGTGTAGTGACAAATTATTCATTGAAAATTAAGTTTTCTTTCTTAATGATCATAAATCTTATCTAAAATCATGTTTGTTCTTGGCTTTTGTAAATACAATAATCACTGAACATTCCAAGGTCGGAAGCAATATTTAATCAGCCGGTTATTTTTCTTCAAAATATTATTTTCTTAAAAAAACAACACATTCTTTCAGCTGATTAAATGCAATTTTTCTTATTTCAGCGCATGTTTTAAAAAAAGTAATGCCAAGCAAGTTCAAAACTGTGTTGTGTAATCTTTAAATCAATATAATACATTAGTTTAGGGTTTCTCTGTAAAAAGTTATACAGGAATATGCTGTTTTGCCAATCTGTGAACAAATACAATTCATTCTTTGTTTAATAGTTCATTCAAATCTTCAAGTCTTACCTGCACTAATCGTTCATTCGTATAATAAGTAAAATTGGCTAAAGCAATAGTGAAGTTCTGCTTAGTGCATAAATTCATAAACTGCAAACTTTTTACAAGTGCCATGTCACCGTCCCAAGGTATGGCGTGAAAACTTGCATATTGCAGCATTTCGCTCTAAAAAACAAATTGTATTGCAAATATATAAAATACTGCGAACAATATCTACACAATCTTCCAAACGACAAGCTACATTTCCACCGATTAATGCAATCGCCACGAACATCACAGATATTCCAAAAATAAATATTTGAAATTCCTATAAACGTGCCTAATGTTAATTTTTAATTGTTTTTGAAATTGGAAATGATAAAAATACTGTACAATTAATAATGTGATGCCAATTAATCCAAGCGTCACACTTCCAACAGTTGCAATTCCAAAAAAGGGAAATTTAAACATATCGCATATATTGTTCCAGTACAGTATCGTAAAGCGATGACGGCCAATAATTCGCGCAAAATCACGATACCTTTGTTTTATATTTAACTCATCCTTCAAAACATCTAATTCCTTTACGATCTGTGAGCAATGAAACTCCAAATAACACACAAAACAAAAATATGCCGACGTCAAACTCCAAATTAAAATAACAGCAAAGATCAATTCGATTATTTGTAAAAGCTCGACAGCATAGTGCCACGGACTATTGCTAATATCCACCAGATAATACTAAAACAGTATAGTAATGTTTGATAGATTAAAGTGATTTGTAATATATTAATTTATACATATGGCAGGATAGCTTCGATGTTATCATAAAAATGTTGCATGATTAGAATGAATCCGTAAACTAATATCCAAAACCCACTTGCGCCAATCATGACAAGCAAAAGCAGACGATTATGAAACATGTGGTATTCGAGCAATGCCGGATGATCGAATGCAACGTACGGACATTTTGCTAAAATATCGTAAATATACATGCCTTGTTCCTTCGAACGCCGACAGCATATGATAATAAATAATCCCATTAAATACACCAATAGAACAGTGAGATAGGATGCGTATTCTTTAAATTCTCGTCCTTCCACTGGAAAATAAAGAAGAAAACAAAACTAATTCTAATCTACGAAAATCTATGGAACATACACATTATTTTAATAACATATCCAACCATTCCACACAATATAAAAATGGGGTTGATGTAATACATGAAGAATAAAATTGGTTGGGCTCGTTTTGAGTCAGAGAAGTAGACCATTTTCAACATGGCGCCGGAAAATGATACATTTTCCACACGCGCTGGGCCTTTATGATTATATTCGTAGACAAAACTTAGAAGAATTTTTAACATGTTGATGGGGTATTACCACACGAACTAATAAAATGTTGGTATACAATTACAGTTTATATATAATGGATTTGTGTTAGTGTTTGTTTTAACGATTAATATTAATATGCAGTGATGTGTTAATAAATTGTAAATTATTTTTTTGATATTCACTAAATCTACTGATTTTCTGTCATTAGAAATCACATTGTTTTATGAAGGTCATATTTGTTCTCTGTCATTGCACCTAAATATTAATAAATGTGTCCGAAAGACAGGATAGTACTTGTGTTTGAAATCGATTCTGTTCGAAATCAGTTATGGTTTTCTATTGAAATTATCTCTGAAATTAAATGGGCTATGAGAGAACGGATCTCAGTTGCTTGATTTGTGAAATATGTTCTACTAGCTGACCCGGCAAACTTTGTTCCGCCTCGCTTTGCTCTTGTGATTGAGAAGCACGAATTCAAATCATACTAACACGGCGCTTTTTACGTGCCATTTTTTGTTCTACTTCAGTCCTTTCATTCGCAATCCTTCGAATCCTAGTTGCATTACGGTTTTGTCGGATAAGATTTGATCGTTTTGGTCGCTGCATGTTGAGTGGGGAAGCTACGAAACGCACAAAGAGGAGAGGGAGAAAATAGAAAACATTATATTTGTGTGCTCTTTTTCTCCCGTCGGCTAAACCCCATATAAGCGAATATGTTTGTTTCCTTTTAGTGTCGTTTAGTAACCTTCTCCAAACAAAAACATCAACCGGTCAACTTCAACCCACACGTACACACATACACACGTCTATGCTACGAAGCATCGCACAAAGAGGAGACGGGGATAATAGAAAACTTTGTATTTGCGTTCTCTTATTCTCCCGCAAGATAATCCATATACGCAAATATGTTTGTCTCTTTTTAGTGTCGTTTAGTGCCTTTTTAGAAAAGTTTTCATTTCAAAAAGTATCCCATTACCTTCTCCTGGCCCTAAGCTACCTCTCCACCAATTTTTAGCTAAATTGAATTAGCCGTTCTTTAGTTATAATGGAGGTAACCAACACGACTTTCTTTTATATATATATTAGGGTGTCCGTTATTTCCCAAAATGGATTTTATTTTTCAGACGCCCCCCAAACTTTTAGATTTTGACCTAAAAAAACATATGAGACCCATTTCAGCCCTTAAAATTGATATTAAACCGTGCCTAAATCATAATCCTTTTCTCATTTAAATAACATGGGATTTCCTGACGTTTTGCATTTAATTTTTTATCTCCAAAGTAAATAAACCTACAGCTTCGACAAAGATATATTCTAATGCAAAATTTTACCCTCTACAAAAATGATCTCTTTGGTTTTTTGCTTAAAAACATTCCTGTAAAAGTTATTTGCGATTAAAGTTATACACATAGTTTATAATCTCATTTACAGCAAATTCTAACTGCGCCACCTATAATCAATTGATCGAAACTAGAGTTTACGTTACAATAATCGCGTATCGACAACGCGACTTAATCTTTGAATAATTTTTACAGGGTTTATCGAAAAAAGTATTCAGACCTTTTTTGTAGAGCGTAAAATTTCCGACAAAATATGTTCCAGCGGTATTTTTAGCTATATTTGTTCCGATAAAAAAAACAATAACTGTAAAAAGTGCAAAAATCCCATGTTATTTAAATGGGAAAAGGATTATGATTTAGGCACGGTTTAATATCAACTTTAAGGGCTGAAATGAGTCTCATATTTTTTTTTAGGTCAAAATCTAAAAGTTTGGGGGGCGTCTGAAAAATAAAATCCATTTTGGGAAATAACGGACACCCTAATATATATAGATATGATTATTCTATTTAATCATCAAATTTTGTTGATTTATCAAGAGTTTTCATTTGGAAATGACTGCCTTAATAATGAGTCTGATAATAAAATATTAACAGAATTAATTATGTGAAATCACGTTTTCCCTTATCTTTTGCAATGAAAAATTCATAGTTGTAATGTTTATTTTTTGCCTAAGAAATGTGAAGTAAATGAATAATCCAGTATTTTACGATAATCTTGGAAACTATTAGAGATAAAGAAATTTGGTCTTCAAATTAGTAGGCAGAACAATATTTTACATCGTGGAACACGACTAGTCTGATTCTTTCGGAAAATCAGAGAAGTGATTCAATTTGGTCAGTTGCGATTTTCAGATACGCTATTTTTGAAATAATGGTGATATCAAAAAACTGATTGAATATTTATCATCTCTGTGCAAAACTCTATCAATTTGCGTTTTCCATTTTTCTCTTGCTTAAAAAATCATTTTTCACTGATTTTGAGTGGTTTTTGTCAATCTTGGAAATTGAAAAACATAAATCTGTCATTTTATAGAGCCATATTAAACCATAAACAAAATGAAGAAACTTCTTCTCTAACTTTATAACTTTCTGAGAAAATCGGGTCGGAAAATATTTTGGAAAATAATACTTTTTTAAATGTTATCATATCTAGGATTTAGCTGCAAACACGCTAGCTAGAATCTTCAAATAACTCCGGATTTACAGAACAAGGCAATGTTATTTGAAATACAAAAATATTTCATTTAATTCATTTTGCAATAAATCAAAACAATAGTATATGTTCATATTAAAAACCCACTATTAAAATTAGTGGGTGCAGGGTAATTTCATAGTGATGGTTTTCGTCTCCAGATACTCGTGCAACGAGTCCTCACCAAGTTCGCGGCCCATTCCGGACTGCTTGAAACCTCCGAAAGGCGCTTGTGGAATAACCATGTCATAGCAGTTAATCCTATAAACAAATGATGTGAATAAAAATTACAATAATCATGCACGTATCAAAACTTACCAAACCGAACCAGCTTGCACAGCTTGTGCAAAAGTCATGGCGGTATTCAAATCCTTGGTAACGCAACCAGCCGCCAAACCGTAGGTAGTATCGTTTGCGCGTTCGATTACCTCTTCAAGAGTATCAAATTTAAAGATGCTCTGCACAGGCCCAAAGATCTCTTGTCTGGCAATACTCATGTCATCTTTGACATCAGCAAATACCGTCGGTTGCACAAAGTAACCCTCGGTACCGTGGCGGGCACCTCCAGTCATGCACTTGGCACCTTCCTTTTTACCCTTTTCGATGAGACCCAATACCTTGTCAAACATCTCCTTATCTACTTGAGGTCCTTGTTGGACACCAGCAGTGAAAGGCTCGCCTACTTTGCGTGCCTTAGCCATTTCGGTTGCCTTAACAACGAAGGCGTCGTAAATGCCTGATTGAACGTAGGTCCTGGAACCAGCACAGCAATTCTGGCCATGGTTGGCAAAAATTGCATTGTGGGCAATTTCAACTGCTTCCTCCACTAAATAAAGAATACAATCCAACATAAGACAACAAATTCAACAATAATTTCTAATAAAGTTACATGTAGCATCGTTAAAAACGACGAGTGGACTCTTCCTCCTAATTCTAGAGAAATCCTCTTAAGGTTGCTCAAAGCAGAATTCTCCAAAATTTTGTGTCCCACTTCGGTGGAGCCGGTGAATGCAGCTTTGTTGATGTGAGGATGACACGCAATGGCGGCGCCTGCAGTTGGACCATACCCAGGGATGACATTGATCACTCCAGCAGGGAAACCAGCTTCCTTGCTGAGAGCAGCAAGTACCAAAGCAGTAAGTGGAGTTTGCTCAGCGGGTTTCAGAATAACAGTGCAACCGGTAGCCAATGCGGGTCCCCACTTCCAGGCAAGCATAAGAATAGGATAGTTCCATGGAATTATTTGACCCACAACACCAACTGGTTCCTTTCTTGTCATCGATGTTACACCCCAATCTATACAACAACAAAAAACAATAAAGAAAATAAATTTGATGTAAATTATGTTTTTGTTTTTTAATCATATACCTCCGGGAATAGTTAGACCGTGAATCTTGTCAGCCCATCCTGCATAGTACTTAAGCGTGTCAATGGCGCAATTGATGTCGAAGATGGAATCCTCATATGGTTTACCATTGTCCAGCGACTCCAAGGACGCCAGGTATGAGATGTCACGCTCGACAAGTTGTGCTAACTAGAATAAATCATCATAATCATAATAAACTAGAGTGCTAACACAGTCAAGTTTGAAGACCACACGTAAAACTAACAGAAGCAATAGATTTGAAATGCAAATATACAGTATACAAATGTTTGAGTTTCTAAGCTGTATGGTAATCTAAACATAACCAGCACAATTCCGATATTATCTAAAATCGTGCGGCCTGGAATTCACTTTTCGTTACCATGTTTCGATTTGAAGTGGTATTAAAAATAGAATGCATATTTTTAGCTACAGGCTGCTAATCGTCACTTTGAAGTCGTAAACAACTAAGGTGTTACAGCTGTAAATTAAATAATGCACTTGCATAACTAATTTTTCATAATGTGACATTTATGCAAATACATACAATCACTAGGGACATTTTCAATACGCTCGCAGAACAAGAATTATCCAAAAATAAATTTTAGTTCAACTATAACCATATTTAGGGATACTCACTTTGTAAATCAGTTTTCCACGTGCAGAAGGGTCCATCGAACGCCACGCGGATCCCCGCTTGAAAGCACAGCGAGCTGCCGCCACCGCTGCATCTACATCCTCCTTATCGCCGGCGGCAACATCAATAATCTTCTTCTCATTTGCTGGGTTAATTGTAGGGAAAGTTTTCCCGCTTTTAGCGTCGACAAATTCATTGTTGATAAACAACTGTTACAATATTAAGACAATAAATACACTTTTAATGATACATAGGTACACTTGTATTTTAACAAGCAAGTAGCGCATTAGATAATTCTCAAAATAGAAATCATATAAAAACATAAACATGTTTCTTCATAATTCCTGCAGTTTTTATGTCAGCTAATTAGCACAAAACACTTAAACCTAACTGAAAAATTAGATTTACATCTTGGGTTACGTACAAATAAAGAAATAAACATTAATCAACAACGCATAAAATATAACCGTGAACCGGTTTGATATAAATAAAATAAAACCAATCATATGTCAATTTTACTGAACCAAACATAACATTTGATGACAAATTTTTATAGTATTTTTATCGTTGCCTCAAGTTGACTTAAGCATCGTTAAAAAGTTATTGTAACCTATAGACTAACTAAATTTAAGATAAGTTAATCAATAATAAGTATAGCGCAAATTGATAATTCTTAATTTACAATTATTAAAAATAACTCTTAAATTAAATAATGCAGTAGAATTTTACCTTAGTGTACTTAATTTCTGGATTTCTCTGAGCCATTTTATTAACGCGTTCTTACAATTATGTTTCACTGAGCCACACTGACCAGCAGGAAGGCAACAACAGGATTGATGCGTGCGGTGTGTTTGTTGCGGTATAACTAGCTCCCTATCGTCTCCCACTCTTCCCACATCCATATGTTCGAGTGTATACAGTTCAAATCAGCAAATTAATTTTGCGTTATAATAAATTATACGAGAGTTCTGAAGATTGCACCGTTTCACAGATAGTAACGGCGCAATACAAACAGCTCCTGACAGATATATCAAATTGGTATTGTGGTTACACGCATGTTTGTGTGTGCTAGGAATGTTCAGTATCCATCGAATTAACTTGTTGACGTTAATTAGCAGAACTTTCAACAATAGATAACAATAATCACAGTAATTACGCCCGGCATATTTACCAATCGCTTGAAATTTTTAACAAGCTCACTTACTTTTTAGACGATATCTATGTAGTGTTTACATTGCAAAGTAAACAAGAATTCAAAAGTATGTACATTATTAACATTATCAATAAATGATGACATTGGCAACACCTTACATTCGTGTTAACTCGAGCTTTGATCGCAGAATGTTTCGAACATCAATTTAGATCAACTGAATTAAATTCATATTTACAACACCCACTCATGATTCCCTTAAAGTCGACTTATCAGCTGGTCTATACAGTGCACGGCCTCGGAAATGTTGTATTTTTTCATCGTCGCACGAAATTCGTGTAGATGAACGTTATTAGTCTGAAACAAATAAAAAAACAGAACCGTTTATTTATATTCGCATTTGTTCAAATCGACCATATGTACAATTAGCGGCTGATTGTACGTTTTTATTTAAATACGGATTATTATTATATTTTTGCGGGTACTTGTTGAAAACAAAACTTGATGTCGGTTTTCTACAAACACGCAACGCTGCATTAAATATTAAATAACCGAAATGACTTCTATACAAATAATAATGAGCAGCATAAACTATGAGCTGAAGGTTATCTCAAGTCGTAAAATTGTTTAGAATAAATATGCAAACATACCATTGCCAAATGCGCCAAGAATTGAATAGGATTTCGATCTTCGAATGCGTCCGTATTCAGCATGTAACCAAAGTTTAAATCCTCATACAACTTACGAATTATGTCCTTGCCCAGTTTAATATGTGACAGATCCTTAGCAAGCTCGAGCGGGATCTCTAGGTTTTCGTCGATGTGGTCATCAAAAACGAGCTCTTCAGTTTTAATATCCATAACCATATCCGACACTTCCACCTCTGATTCCGATTCGGACGAAGTCTCCTCATCTTTAATCAGCGCAGACTCAAACAACTCAAAATCATTCGGCACGGCTGCTGGATCCAGCAGTTTCAAGACATTAAATAGTTTTATTTCTTCAAGGCACTCCATCGCCAAATCTTTCGCAGTTTTTTCATCGTAATTCGTATGTTTCTTATTAACCGCAGTGTTTTTTAACACGTATTCAATCAACTCCTCTTGTTGGCCCAAGATGGCCGTCTGCAGGATGTTGTTACCCGTGCGGTTATCCTGCGCGTTTACCTGCGCCCCATGGAAGATTAACAGCTTCACCGCAGAGAGTTTATTTTGTTCCACTGCATATTGCAACGGTGTCAACCAGGTACCGTTCATCTGTCCCAAGCCTTCCACGACGTTTTGCGATTTGAAATGGGTGCACACCTCTTCGATACCGTAGTCATACTTGATTGCTAGATGCAAAGGAGAAGCGTATCTTGCATCGAGTTTCATGTGATGCAAAGGTAGATCTTTTAGTTGGTTGTGTTTGGCTCCATTCCTGAGTGCAAGATGAAGGATGGTCTCATTGTAGTTGTTCGGCACGTTCAGGAGGTCGTAGAGCTTGAAGCGATCAATTATACCCAGAAGACTCTTCTTCAGTTGTTTGGCGTAGTCGTCCGTGAAGTGTATGTGACACAGATGCAGGAGGCTGTTGATTACAATAAAGATACATTAAAATTGAAAATTGAAACGTTTGAGCGTCAACTCGCTGCTCTGACCAGAAATTGAAAACAATTTCAGTGCACAGCAGTGAGTTGACGCTCAAACGTCTCCGATTCTTCAATCTTTAATACAAAATTATTGCGTGCCCCCGAAAATATGCATCCACGTTAAATGCAAAAAACACTATATATGACTAACTAATTTTTCTTTATTATAATTGTAATAACAATGAATTACTCTTTTGTGTGAGTTTTCAATGTTTCATCTCGAATGCATCGTCAGATGAAATTGTAATTCATTACCACGTAAAAAAATATAATGAAAATTTTAAAAACATGAATTGCGCACTCGCAAAAGGAGATAAACCTAATCTGATCGTTTATAAAGAACTATTAAATGATTTTAAATTATTATCATCTTCTTCACCTGTGAAAAATACCGGATAATTTACCATTTTGAAACCATTGATCAATAATAGTTCAAAGCAAAAGCAGCGCCAACTTTAGATATTTAAAAAACTAAAAGCGATAGTATGCAACTATGCAAACACGCACACCCAAAGAATGTGAGGCCCGGATAGCAAATTTGAAAACAATGTATTAAAAACTACAACGCGTACCAAACAAAACATTAAATTAGTAACTGTATCTAGATCTCGCATTCAAGCCGTTTAGTAATGTTTGAAAAGCATTTAGTAATGATTGAAAATAATCAAAATTGTCATACTTATTGCCATCCTCGCTCTTATCCTCAAACTTCCTGCGGATCATCTTCTCCACATCAGGCTGTGCGGTTTTAATAAAGGCACCGATCTGGTAGAATTGCTTTTTGAGTTTACTCAAGTCCTTCTCGGTCGACTGAAACTCGGCATTTCCGACCGCATCGGTCTGTAATGAATAGTAATTCGGAACTTGTTCGCCCTGAAAATTCTCCATAATGTCGCCAAACATATCTGGCAGTAAACGATTAAAATCGTCGGAATTGACTTGGGGCGCATGCTTGAGCAATTCTTCGCTGGCCAGCGTCGGATGATCCATGTTCAGAATCACAGGTGGAATTTCCATGCTGAGACTCATGCTCGAGCTGGAAAGATCTGCGTCATACCTCGGGCGCTTTCGTTTGCTGGTGCGGTCAGGAGTATAAGTAAACCCCCGCGGTTCGCTGCACTCCCCGTCGGACGGGCGAAACAGCGCAACAAAAACGCCTTTCGTTGGTTCGTCAATGTGCGGATTACGGTAGGGCGGTGTTTTCACCACGATCGCATACTGATGATGCACATCAGATTCGTGAAACTTTGCGTCCGCAGACCAAATCTTTTCATCGTTTTCATCAACTTCAAAAATTTGAACTTTGATGTTTTCTAATCAAAAACCAAAACGTTTCATTTATTTCACTATTCTAAGACATAAAATGCGCATGACTTACTTTTGGCCACTTTTTCCACCAGAAGGAAGATTTCCTTACCTCCTGATGCAGGACTCGTGGCGTGATCCATGCGAACAATTTTCAAATCGCCAGTCATTGCGGATTCTTCAATTATTAAAAATATAACACCGAATAAACAAAAGTTATAAAATGTACTTACTCAGGTTAAAAATAGGGTTGCTGTATAATGGCTCACAAAGTCTATGTAGGACACCAGTGGAATCTTCCCTGAATGCGTCAAAACGCAAAGTCACCACGTTTAAGTTGATCGACTTCTCTTCATCAAGAATTTGTTGTTTGATCTCAGATTCCTCGCGCGTTGTTAGGGCCCGCGGTGCCTCCGAACGCCGAATCTCTTCAAGTTTCAAATTGGTTTTCTTGATTTTAATTCGTCTTGAATATGCTTCTTTGCTGTATGTATGATACCCATACTCTTGAATCTGAAACAAAAACAAATACAAATGTCCACTTATGCGATTGTAACTAAACACTTTGTTTATTGATGCAATGTTACCGTAAACAACGATAAAAATGATGAAAAACTTACACGACTTTCATATTCGGATTCGTGTGCGGGTCAACACGCTTATCATGCGGATCGACGCGTTCCTCAGAATCGTTTTTCATGACTAGTCGATGAGGATGTGGTGATCTAAAATGTTCTGGAGCCTCTTTCGAGTAGGTAAACAGGGAACATCTTATAATTGCAGGCCCCATGTAATTTTTCAACTGTAAATAATGATTTTTAAGTAAAGAATATAAATCGTACATTTGGCATATTTAGTTGCCTAACTATAAAGAATCTTTGTAATATTTATTAAAGAGGTAATTTTGAAGTTTTACCTGTACTGTAGGATAGGTAGCCTTTCTGTTCTTCTCAGTAGAATTTCCTTGCAGGCTGCCATGTGTTCCAGACATTTCAGATTTATACCTGAATCTGAACTTCTCCACAGGTTGCTCAAGTATCTCCAGGTGACAATCTTGACAAAATAGTTAAATTGATATAGATATGTATAAAATAAAGATATTCATTTTTTAAATGAAAACTTAACAAATTAATAGCAACCCAAAAACCACTACATTCTACACCCATCTACATATGTTACTTTATAAATGTTAATAAAAACCTTCAAACTGTCCAGTAGCAATACTACAAGTCATGCTTTCAAAATCTTCAAGCATTCTTGGTGATACGGGTGTATTACCATTGCCCAACATCATGTAAATTGGTGACCGCGAAGCGTCGGAGCTTGGCGACGGCGTCGGATATTTGCTTGGGTAACTCATGCTCAAATCTACAAAAGAAACAAATTTTCATTAGCATCATTCAAAATTCCGCCCAAGAATATGCATTTAATGATTCAATACCCGTATATTCCAGCGTGGCTGGAACAATATTCGTGTAGTTTTCCATAATGACAATAAATTACATCTACACTTTTGATATGTTCCTGGTGCTTGAAGGCACGCACAACGCACACACGTATAACCTTACACTTTGCTATAAACTTTTGTATAACTTCTAACTGATTGAAACAAATGAATGCGGGATGTGAACCTTCGAGAGCTCACCATCGAATGATGACGATACTATCTACTCACCGACATATTTTTATCCTGTGTGAATCCCACGACGAATTACGCATAAATTGGGATGGGATTCCCCGGGTATTTTCGTCAAGGACGATGAGTTGTAGTGCTGACTGGAATATGTGAATTACCAGAGTGTTACGTGCGTTCGAAGTGCGCATCAGCGGGACTTTACCCAAATACAAATGTAAACAACAAATGATGAAAGAGAAAGACAGTTGTCTATTTTCGGGTGGGAAAGAGACACATTTTAGGGTTGGCAGCACTGTTTGCACTTATTTTCTGTCTTTCTTAAGAGAACGTGCTGCAATCAAAAATCAGATTTCTGACGATGCCCTCAAGGCAAAACATTTAACTTAAACGTACAATTAAATAATGGATTATATAAAAATAAAGAAACAGAACTAGCTCAAATCGTGTACCTGCAGCGGGCGTTACCTAAGTATTAAACGTAAACTGATAAAAGCGAAAGATAGTTGAAATTCTGCGAGAGGAAGTGAGACAAATTTCACAGTTGGTAGCACTGTTGGCAATGCTTTCTGTCTTTTTTCAGAGTGTATTGCGATTGGTTGTGATCAAAAGCAAAGATATAAAACTGGCACAAAATAAGATTAGTGAGGAATGCGACGCATAAAACGCGAACATCACGAAATGATAAACTCTAATCTAATTGTAAAACTGAAATAGCAAACAAATAGAATATGTCAATAAAAAATTAAAGATTAGATTAAAAACATATTGTTACGATAGCAAATCAAAACTTTTTCCGAAACAAGGACACTTCTTTCCGGGACTTACTTTTCAAATATAGTTTGAGAACACAAACTGTTCGTGTCATTTACTAAATATTTTATCAATTACATATTAACGTTCAGTACAAATATTAAGACAAGCATTTAAAACACTGTACATCTTACACATCGTTAATCCTCTCTCAAAGTAGTACTAATTTTTATATAAAATATGTGAACGCCACGCGTGAGACGCAGAATTCATCAATTGTAAATCGATCACACGCGGCATATTCACTTTAAACTTGTAATTCTAACTTTTAATTGGTTCCCCTTGTGTTATTGAAATACACTGTCCGTTTCCTGTTCACTGTCGCTGTCCTTCTCCATGAGTTTCCGCTTGAAGTTCAGGAAGCTATGCCGCATGCCCATCGCAGGAATGCCCGCATTCGTTGTAATCCGGTGACGTGCAGACAAAGGCATCTTTTTCGTACTACTGGAATTCTTTCTGTTTTCACCAATGGTCAAATTTAAACTCGAGGTGGACTTGAAATTAGCCAGAGACATATTCGACACATTCTCGTTGATCATCGACGTAGAATGCGACCTAGTTTGGTGTCGACCAATTAAATTTGTTGATAAACGTGTGGAGGTGTTTCTTGATGTGGAGGCACTAGTGATGTTTAATTTATTGTTTTCTGAAGGTATTGATTCGGTTGGTTGTGATCTCAATGGCCGTCGTGGTGATTTGACGCAGTTTTTAATAATATGCGTGTCCAAAAGTATTTTGTTTGAAAATACGCGATTGCAAGTCAAACATTTGAACATTTTTGAGATTGATAGACGAGTAGAAGTTGAAGGTTTCGTCTGGTTGCTGATTGAAGCGCGCGTTGTCATACTTGATCGAGCAGGTGCCATCTTTGAAGGTAATATTGACCTACGGGTTGAAATTGTGGGCAATGTGGGTTTTCGAGTCGTTGCAGGTGGTGGCATCAATGACTTCCTACCGCTATCAGTTTTGTAGGTATTAATGATGTTCTTTTTGCCAAAATGGTTTTCCTAGGGACTATATGTGATAATCGGGCTTTATTCTCTTGTGTTTTGCCCTTCTCACTATCGACTTTGTTAGAATTTGAATTTAAAGCATTTCGTGTCACTCTCGATGATGAAAACTGTGCTGGTTTCGGTTGTAAAGATTTGTCATAACTCCTTAAAGACCTCCTCTTGACTACATTTGAATTCGCGGAAGTCTGACCTGAATTATCCTTCGCATGCGATCTCTGATGAACATTTAAAGCCATTGAGTTTTTAAACAGTTTTTTACACACCGCACATTCGTTTCTCGTCCGTGCTTTATGCAATTGTTCGTGTTTATTCTTTAGGAAGGCATTTATAAATGTCTCTGAACAAATAGAACAGACATGTTTACCTTTTGCTTCCTTCGAATCGATTGTTTTTAATTCTTCTAAAGTATGAAATTGGAGGTGTGTCTTTAGACTACCGGCACTCGGAAAAGTTTTCGAACATTTTGGGCATTCATTTGTTTCTTTTTCATTTGACTCCGATGATGTTTCCTCAGGTTCCTCCTTATTTTCGTCCCACTTTCCTGGTGTTTCATCTTCTTTCGGTGTTTCTAAGCTCTCATCATCTGAATCACTAATAACAATCTGTATCTGCTTCCTTTTCGAATTTCGCTTGCGAGTTTTCCGCTCGAATTCATCCTCATTATCAGATAAATGAATACATTCACTTGGTTGCAGAACCTTCCTATCTCGGACAATTCCATCCACTTTAGTCTCAACGACGCCATTCGCCGTGACAGTAACATGCTGAAAAACTAACTCCTCGCCAAGTCTCTCCAATGGTTTAATCTTCTGCTTCCTAGGTAAACGTTCCTGCCTAATCGGTGCTTCTATAATCTTCGTCTGTGAAATCATTTTGTTGACATTCCAAGACGGATGCTTCTTTTTATCCCGCTCCGATTTGTATCTCTCTGGTTGCTTTGTTGACGTGCTATTATCTTCAATAACTAAATTCTCCAAAGAAATGTCAGTTTTCTTCACAAGTGTGCGTCTAACGTTGTTTTTCTTTATTACACCAATGGAAGAACTGCTTTTACTTCAAGATTTTCCTTTTGTGGTGATATCACCAACGAATTCGAAACACCATGCGATCTTTTCAAACTGTTAAGACACTTTAAAGGTGCGCCTGTATCACTCACAATCAATTTGGGATATGACCTACAGGGTAATTCAATAGTCGCAATTACCTGCTTTGAAACCTCTTTACCAATGGGATATAATGCAATTGTTCTATGACCCGGACGAGTTTGAGTCTGAATTTTCTGGAAATGAATAACCTGTTCATCTTCTTCCTCCTCTTCTACAACGGGTTCTTCCACCTCAAGGTCACCTGGTTGATCTTCCTCATCATGGACATATAGTTCCATTGGATTTTCTGATTTAACAGGAGAGTAAATGCCTTCCAGAGCACTTTCAAGTATTCCCTGCTTAACAGGAACACGAGTTTCCTCATCTTCATTCTCCGCCCCCTGATTATCCTCATTTTGATCAGTTTGAAAGGGTTCTTCATACTCAATAGAACAATCGGGTATATATCGATCCTGTAGTGGATCTTCCTGTGTGCCTTCTCGTTCTTCCTCTAGATTCATGCATAAACCATCAAATACTTGATGTGCTACACGCTGACTATCAGAAGTTTCGTTTTCATGCACCATTTGTTCTTGTTCCTGACCTTCTTGATATTCAAACTGCAGTTTAGCGTCAACATCAGTGTCTCCGGTTATGTAGACATCTGTAACTTTTTGTTCTACTTCTTGTTTGATGTTCATTTGATCATTTTCGGTTTCATCACAGTTCTCATTGTTGTTGGCGATGCTATCGTGTTGGGAAAGTGCTTCGCCTACTTCTTGTGCTTCAAGTGACTCGATATTTCGGATTACACTCGCGGGTGTTGTATCATAAGGTACCAGTTCAATTGTGCCGGGAATACTTTCAAATTGACCATCTTCGTTTTGCCTGTGCGCCAAAAAACAAACAAAAATTACTAATAATAACATTAAAGTGTCCACGTTACTTAAAGTATCAAATCACATGAAACAGGCATTAATTGTTCCATAAAACAATCATTATATAAGCAAATAAAGCTTTGAAAAAATTAAAATAAACATATTATATTCATAATAAACACATGTAAAACATTTTAAAATAATAATTGTCAACTTACAACACTTCATACTGATATTTAAGCAGATTACCCTCTTCATCTTGTGTACTTTGCAGCCCATATAACTTTGAAGAGTGTGGTGACTTGAAAATAATCAACTCCTGATCCTCAGGAATCTCTTCCTCAAGTTCCTCCTGTTTACCAATTGTACTCTCTGCAGTAGCGTTCGAAAGCGTGAACTCCCTGTCATCTATCTCTAAATTATCATAAGTGATATCATTTAAGATTGTCTCTGTGGTGCTGTCCTCCAACACTGAGAAAAACTGCGTGGAATTGTTGCCGCTTTCATCAGCGGTCATGAACGACTCGTTAATCGTAGACAGCGTCGAATCCAAACCATCGCGTAGATGTAACATCTTCTTCGATGAGATGTAGCTTGCAACATCGTTCTGATTCATGACGCGATAAACTACGAATCGCCGTTTTTCGTTACACTTGACTCGTTGTTAGTTTTGATGAAGAGGTTACGCACTGTGTTTGTGCAATTAGTCACATATAGTGAACAGTTGTCACAAACGTGCGCGTATTCGTTTTTCTATTATATTCTAGTCAGGTTGAAACGAGCTTTTTAAACACTAAATATGTTTCGTCTGTAGCTTGTGCCGGAATCGGTGGAAATTCTGGCAATCACCGCGTAAAAGCGTAACAACTCAACGACTCTTGTAACGAATTTGTTTGACGTTCGCTAATTGTCTAGCTTGTAGGCGCTTGGTTCGAAGTTGATGCGGTAGATGTCGCTACCAAGATCGAATTTGTTTAGAAACCAAGGAAAATGTGATTTGTTAAAGTAATAATAATTCGGTCAATAAACGGTCCTAATTACCAAAAACACGCGAAACAATAAATAAACAGTGGCATATAGGCTGGAAATTGCGGTTTTCAGTAATTTTGACTGAAGTAAAATGGAAAATAGGAATGAAAAATGTCGAGAAATGAAAAATCGTGCGAATTTAGGATTTGCTTCTTGTGCGCATCTTGTGTTTTCATATATTATCATAATTTATTTACGATTTTCATTAAAAAATGGGCTTTAAAGCGATGATAATATTTTTGTTTGTTGTTTTTTGTTTGTTTAGTTATAACACTAATGCAAATAGTCTAACTGATATCATTAGATATTAATAATAAATTACATAAATATTCAATACATAACATAATTACGAAAAAGATTTTTATGTCATATAATTATAATATATTTATATATAAATCTTATTCATTCTCTTAAATGTTTATAAGTTCTGTAATTTTTGGTTTCTCATTTTCAATTTTTTGTGATTTTTTTTTTGTCGTTTTTACGTGTCGCTTTGCATTTTTACACATCATGCTCACAATAGATCAATATATTTCAATATATATTATTTCAATATCTCGCAGCGGTCGCATTTCGACCATCGTGTGTCGCCTCGTCTCCACGAACCAACTTCAAAAATGTTGCTGTTCAAGTCTTAACAACTATATTTAGATAAATTATTATGCGCTTATAATTTATGTATGTAACATGATAATAATACTTTCTTATAGTTTTCTCTCTGGTTTTGTTTGTTTTGTTTGCCCGCAGTGTTTGAATCCATCGCAATTCGTGCACGAAAAACATAACCCAGCATCATTTTTGAAATGTGGATGGCATCCTCCGCCATATTGTTTCCGGTCGACCGTTCCACTCGCCGCCAACATCACCTCATGGTTTTATTTACTATTATTTCTCATATCTAGATTTAAAATATATGTACAGATGCTGAATTTTATAAAATTTGGACTTTGAACTCGTATTTTATATTTATATGTACTTATACGATAAGGTATATTATGTAATATGTAATTAAGTGTAAGTTTGCTTACGACATAAGTTAATAATACAAGTACGAATGTGTGTTGTTTTGAATCATCATCAATGTAGTTACTATTTAGTTTTATTTGCAAATGTAAAAGTCATTTATGTCTCGCCATGTCGAGTGCTTCCGGTTTCCGGCGCTGCGTTCGGCGTTCGACTGATTTTATAAGTAAATGTATTTAGTTGAAAGAGCGGCTACGACTAGGGAACACAACATCATTGGGAAAAAACGATTCGTATCGCGGCGGCCATTTTGTTCGCGCATGTTTATCGAGGTTATGCACAAGCAGACACGATATACAACATACACACGATTTTATCTGGGATAGTAATAACGCCGTCGGGTCAAAGCTAAGTATTAATTTCAACGAGAAACCAACGAATAATTGCCATTCTAATAATATTGCTTTCAATATGTGCAAATTTATTGGATATATACAGGGTGTTGGGTTGAGTGTGTGACCCGACCAGTATGGCAAAAAGGAGCGGAACCGATAACACCTGGCATTCTTAAACTTTGACAACAAAATCAACGATATATATTATCATAATCAACGATGTGTCCGCGACAAAACGAAATTAGGCACGAATGCAACCCGTAATCATTTTTGTTTACACTTTGATGAAATTGGCAGAGATAGTAGTATTTATTCACGTTTAAAATTTACGTTTAAATTGTAAACTCGTTATCCTTAGTTAGTTAATGTGTGTGGGTGGGGGCGGGTGAAAGTGTTACGTGTCATCGTCGTGGGCGAATATTCCTGATGATGGTGTGGCTCGAAAATGCGAATAATTAGCTATCTTATCTCGTAATTATCGAATGCTTCAACGCGCGCGCTTATGTGTGAGTGTGGTGTGTGTGTGTGTGATATGCATCCGGATGTACACAAAATGGTGGTACGCCAATGCGCCATTTTGCATCGCGCTTTGAAAGAATTCGTGATCACATTTACAATATGAACAAATAAATCGGAAAGATCGCGAAACAATTCAACAAGAATCAACAAATTCAACATACAATATATCTCGTAGATTATAGATTATCAACACACAGAGGGCGCCAGCGCACGAAATCAAAGTGAACTTGAATTTCAATGTAAGATTCTTGTGTGCATATGGAACACGATTACACCTAGACTAGCCTATGATCATATTTATAATATTTACAGCCAAAGAATACACGACGCCGATTGAACGTCCCGCCATCTTGATCAACGTTATAAGCATATGTGTGGTTGTTTTTTTTTTCTTTTGTATATATAATATTCTTCGATTCTCACTGGGTTTTCTCATTTTAGTTTAAATTACTTGCATAGTTTTTTTTTTGTTTGTTTTATATTAATCCTAGTGTGTTTTTATGTTTATTATTCTCCACGACACGAATGGGAACAGGATCGCGACCTTCTCGCGCTAGTTTCTTGTTAATATAAAAAATGTTATGCGCTTGCGCACGCGTAAGTATCGCTTCATTTTTAGGTTAGTTTTAACGTTAATGTTGTCTCATATCAGCTAAGTTCAAGGTTTAATAAGACCGAAATACACGCTAAGATTGTGTGAATATCGGAAACGTGAGTGCACTCCTGTACAATTTTTCAAATGTTTACAACTTTTCACACCGAGTTTTCATTCGCCATCCCGCGCCGACTCTACGCGCGCAAATTTCTGTATTACGTCTTGTTTTCCCAACTTGGTTTACTTGTTAACTTCATTTTTATATATAAGGCATCTCTTTTGTTAAAAATACAACTATACAATGAAATTAGGTTGTCTAAACACTTCGTTCCGGTATAAATACACAAGGTTCACGCTATTTCATGCTCGGATTCGGTAGAAAATTCTAGCAAACAATCAAACGCTGTAAATTGATTGAATATATTGCCTAAATTATGACAACACCACGATGAGAATGTCTTGTTACTTTCTGTGTTATGAGTGAATTACTAAAACCAATCAACTCAAACTATCTAGTCGAATGCATGTGTTGGTGTGTGTGTCACTAGATTTTCCTGCTCGGTTTCATCTTACATATCACAGAAATAACCATGGTATAAGGTGTTCCAAATGCTAGCAACGAAATAATCAGCACATTTATCAACACTTAGACTATGTTTCTTGGAACACTCTGTATAACTTAGGTTGAAGTGTAGTGTTGTAGCTGGTGGAAAGAGTTTCAAGTGTTTCACATGCGCAATGTTTTATAGATAATATTCACGTTTGACAAGTTTCAACAGACAAATTCAACACGTCTTGCGGATCTCTGCGTCCAGTGAGGTTAAGTACAGCTGAATGCAAATTTAAGGTTAGGTTAGATATCTAGCGGCGAACGCTGCTTTTATTGTTATGTTTTTGTGACGTGTGTGGGTTTCCGGTCTGCGACTTGCACACACACACATACACGTTATGGATTCGTAAATTTAGTGATTTTAAAGCACTTTAGGGAAGAATTATATAATTATCAATAATATTCCTCGTCATCGCCTGTCCATTTGCGTCCTTGCACCGTTTTTTCATCATTTTTGTTTTGTAGTTTTGGTTATTATAACGTTAATGTGTAAAAACGACATTCATACACACGTTGGTTAGTAAATTTGAAATCTAACTGCAAGTTACCATTGTTTTTGCTTTGTTTGTTTGTATGTACAAAGGTATACGAAGTGTTCTCTCGGTGTGTGGCGTCAGATCAACTCAAACTTAATAATAATTGTTGTCATTTTAGTATTTTCTCTTCAAGTTAATCATGGAATTTGTTTTGTTCGATCGCTGGCAGTTGAGTTACTAAAGTTGTGTGTGAGTGTTTTTTTTTTGTTTTTTTTTTGCCTGCATACAGTGAACGTAATATACTGGATGTTCCAAACAAAGCGCTATAGTCATAGAAAAGTATAAAAATGCCTATGCGCATTTACACTTTACACGTTCTCTACGTTCTTTTTCTCACTGTTTTTAGTTCAGACAACTAACGCTCGAACGAAAACGTGTGTTGTGTATTATATTCAATAACCACTCAACGAACTGGAACTTCGTTACAACGTTCTTAATAGTAGACTAGAGTGTTTGCATGATGATTTCTTTAATATGTTTTAAATGTAAGTTGAATAAAGTCGAAGATGGCGTTTCCGGTAAGTCTATACTTAAGTGTTGTTTGTTTAACATTCGCCGGGGGACAGTACTCACCGCTCACTGAATGTGAACATTGTTCGTGACACCGCTACTGTTTTATTTTTCTGTTTCTTTGTTTTGGATTATTTTTTTGCGCTGATTTTTTTGGTTCGTCGGTGGGTTGTTATGCACAAGCGAATTTTTACGAATTTGCGGTTCGTTTTAAAAACACAATAATCAATTCCTTGAAGGCCTTTTGCGAGTTAAGTCATCACACCGCGCGCGCGTCCGTTTGGTGGGTGGGTACTCATGTGACTGAGTAGGTCCCCTAGTGTTAGCACCAGTCGTCGTCGTCGGAGTCAGAGTGCCGCGAGCGCGACGGTTTCGGCTTGTAGCCGTTGGGCACAGGACTGGGCAGCATCCGTCCACCACGTCCCAGTGCTACCGCCTGCTCGAAGCTGAGTGGTGCCGCGGGCGCGTCTCGAAGTGGTGCTACCATTTCGTGAGGTGGTTCTCTTTCTCTGACCAGCGCCATGTTGAGTGATGCATGGGGTGTAGCATGTGCCGAATGTGATTGCATCTGCAAGAGATCAAACTAAACCCAGACCAGGTATTACCTAACAGGATTCTTTTTATAATTTTTGAGGATTATTTACGTGGGTTGGCGATGCATTCAACTTTGGAAAGTTGATGGGTCCTGGTCGTAATTGTAACGTCGAAGGTTTGCATGGAGTTGGCGGTAGTCTCCTTCCTTGCCCTCTACGAGACCCAAGTACAGGATGGCTGTGTTGCACGCTGCCCTGCATGGCCGCTGAATGATGCACCGGAAGTCCCACAACCGCGCAAGCTACAACAATACATTATCCCCACACAAAGTGGCATTTAGAATACCTCTGGTGTAAGAAACGATGCTGCTAATACCGATTGTAGGAGGACCGTGTTGATGAGGCACGGGATGTGTGGGACTTGGGGATCTAGATCTCTGGCAAAGGCTGGTAGTACCGTAAGCGGCACCCCGGTGCGGCGCCCTGTAGCCTCCGCTTCCACCTCCTCCTCCGCCGCCTCCATGCCGCACATTGTAGTGATGCCTGTTGTTGGTCGGCGAGGGTGACCTCGCCGGACTGGTCGACGCCGACCATGATCCCAGAAACTCACCTATAACACAGTCACAATCAGCAAGAGCGTTGCTAAAGACTGGCGAACGTCATGAGTCCTTACTACCTCCTTTCCGGTGCCTCTGCGACGAACGTTGATGTTCGTGCTTTACAATTTCAACCACATTGGACACCGTGTCCGAGAAGCCAATATCGTGGTGCAGATGTGATGGATACCTACGTCCCGGCGAGGGACTACGCTGCATCGACGGGGAGTTCCCACGTCTACGCATGACCAAAAAGATACAAACCTAACCTCGCACCGCAGCCCATCACGCGTGCGCAGTAGTACCACGTGTTTATACATTACCTTAAACTCGGTGATCTTCGATGCGTGTTCGGGTAGTTACCCGCCGGATGTAAATGTTGCTGATCGCCTATGCTCTCCATCGATGGACGGCGTGAGCCCAGAACATCCTGTAGTTCCATCACCTGCTTCGGACATGTTGGTAAAATCAGTCACAGACTACAGACTACCAGCGCTACTGATCAAACTACTGGTCATTGATGTTTTCCTTTGTATTAGTTTAAACTTCCGAAGAAATTACGCAAATTTCGTTAAGTACTTAAAACAGTCCCATTCATACCAAGTCCCGTAACAATTAGATACACATAGAATTCATGCAAAAATCAGATACATGCTGATCTTGATGTCTTAAAATTGGTGCAAATTAATTCTCTGAATACTTTATACACACGATCACAAAGTGCACTAGATTAATTTAACTAGATTATTAAAACACACACAAATACTGTTAATTTACTTATTAAGTTGCGAAAGTTGCAAAATTGAATTAATCTAAAGATTTCAATACAAGACACGAAGATCCTAGCCTACAATTTTTAAGCGCTAGTGTTAGAAAGATTGATTAGAAGTTGATGATCGACATGCAGATCCTAGACTGATCTCGTCTCGACCCTAATTGGTACCTTCTATACCTGACTAAAGTTTAAACTGTTTCTATGTCATCATTTTTTAGAGCAAAGATTATGCACGAGTATTTATAGCAGTGGATCTGTAAAAATCTGATAGACATTCAACAATTATTATATCACCGTCTGGACCTAAACCTAAAGTTCTGCCCTAACACACATCGATTTTGTTTTGGTTACCGTCAAGTCGTTATTTTTCACCTTTTTGTTCCTGCAAATAAAGAAAGTTTATTGTTAATTTATGTAAATGAATGTGCTGTAGATGTTTACCTTAAGGAGCGTCGTTTGGTGTTGCGTCTAGCAAGCGTAGCTAGAGATTTGGTGTCGTCCGGATGATGACCCGGCCCTAGGGGATGCAGCGTGTGGGCGTGGGTGGGTACAGGTGCGGCAGCGGCCGCCTGCTCGGGTTGTTCCTGCCCGCCCATGAGCGGTGCGCCTTCGAGACTAATCGAGCCGGCGCGACTGCCCAGCTGGCCGGCCATGTCCAGCAGACAGTCAAAAAACGACGCCTTCTGCCATATCCAACACAACTTTAGCTTACAAACACGCAGCGCGTCTGCGCGCGCGGCTAACACACAACAACTGCGCTAACAGACTCGCCTATACGCCAAAAACCAAAGTATCAACATAACGCACGATCTGCGACCTATCCGCTTCGGCTGGGCATGTCACAAAACACACACACATAGTACACCAACAGGGCCGGCGTGCGCTACCGCGCCTGCGCGTTGCATCAATTCTCCGAATTAAGTCTAGCATAATTACATTATATATCGTACTACTCGTAATAATCAATCATCAATAATAATCAAGTTTAAGTTTTAAAGAGTTGTGCCCAAAATATCAGTAAATACTCTCTGGTTAGCAAAATTGTCAAAATTGTATGTACAGGTATATACAGAGCATTGCACACGATCGCAGAGTATTCGAAAAAAGCATGCAAAATCGAGCAGAGCAGTCATGGTCGAGTTTTAAGTGTATTTACAGTTAAAAATCGAAAATAGTTGAATTCAAGTGCTAACTGCGTTCTGCTTCGTAAAAGAAGGATCATAATAGTAATAGGAGGTTATGTACACTATTGGTCATGGTCACTAATCAATCAACGCATGCAAATATCCATTAGTCATCGCCATATTACTACAAGATCAAAGATTAAAATCGAAAGACAAGACACAAACAATTGGTAGAAGTTAAGGGCATTCAATATTAGATATGTACACATTTAAAAAGGACATCGATGCTCATCTAAAAAAGTGGGTGCAAAATCATCGAACGGAGCACGTATGTACAGAGAGAACGAGAACAAGGAGCAAGACACAAAAACGGCGCCTCGCTACAGGACCGTACTATGAATGAGATCATCGTAAAAAAATGTTTACGCTTGCTAAAAATACGAGGAGCGTGTCAAATGTGGAGAATGAAAATATGAACAAATGCTGTTCTTAGAATAAGGAAGAAAATAACAAATATACTACCGCGTGATTGGCTGAGGGGCTATTTCCAAAACCCTGAAATAGATATAAAGATAGTTGATTCATTGTTCGGGGCGGGTGGTACTTTTTTTTCGTTTGAATATTTTGGTGAAGGTTCTAGTAAAAACTGTAGCTGGGCGACAAGAGATAGAAACAGAGAGATGGGGGGCTCTAGCTAATCTCAGTGTTGGGGGGAGATCGACACACGTGCACGTTGCACATTGAACAAAGTCCAACGCAAACGGAAGGCTTAACATTGATCGCTACTGCGAGAAATACAATATGTCCAGTTGATAAGATTAACCATTGCCATCATGTGCACGTTTAGAAACTAAAGTAAGCTTTAAATTGAAATGTATTTTGGGTTGCCTATTAAAGTATGATTCTGTCATGCACGTGATGGCAAACATTGAAAATGTCACAACCTGAGTTGTGTCTTTCTACGATCAGACATATTTCAAAATGGAGGTACAAATAAAAGTTCCGAATACGTAGGTATATCAACTACAACGTAGTTCTCTACACGATTATCAATTATAATAGAGAAGTAAGTACAATTAACACCGACTATACACTTCTTTTTGTTTTTGATTATTTTGTGAAATTGATTTGTTTACTTGTCTAAAAGAGGGGCAGCTCTGATCTTTAAAACCTGATTCAGTTTCTGATTGTTTTGTGTTCTTGTCTATAGAATGCCAATTATTATTCGTAAATTCCCGATTAGTCTGTTCCTAGATTAGTGTTGATGTTAGTAAATGTTAGTAAATCTCAAAATGGCTTCGTGAGCTCGTGAGGATACTCGTGTGGTTTACCTGATTGCCTCCGGCTGACTCCAGCTGGCCGAATTTGGTCGTCCTCCAGCTCTCTAATATCAAATAACTGGCGTAGATCTTTCCCACTGTCATCTTACCAGTGTTGAGCTGGTCCGGTGGAGGCACTAGTAAGTCCACCATGTTTTTCGCTTGTATTGGCCAGATTATTTTTATTGTTTCACGGAGTTCTTCATCGGCCACGTCCATTTCATCAGCTGTCGAACATTTAATATCATCCATTTTAATCAAGAAATTCATTTTTCTAATTCCAATTTACCTGGTCTCATTTTAATGGCAAGATTCTCTCGTATAAGTGCAAAGAGTGTGGTTGTAAAATTCACCCGGCCTTCTGCATCCACCGGCATGTTCATTCTTATAAGTTTTTTGTACGCCAACCGATTGGGACACTTGTTACCGAATCCCAGCGGCGGGTCCATGTTTTTCAACATGTCGTACATTTCTTGATACAGGACTTTACCTCTGCAACCACCAGTTATACATGAACATAACCACTAACATTTAAGTGATTAACTTACGTAGCATTTGGATCGTATTCAGCCCATATTCTTACATACTCGTCTAAATGATGGGCGCCCAAAATAGACGAGTCTCTTGTTAAATAGTCAAAGTTGTCCATGATGACAGCAACGAACAGATTCAACATCTAAAAGTATAAATTTGGTGAAATCTCGATCTGTATAATTATTTTTTTTGTGGAATACTTACAAGAAATGAACAAAAGAAGATAAATGATACAAAGTAGGCGTATGCCAGGTTTGACCCACAACTAAGCGGGTCCTCCTTATCGGATTTCTCATCGCATTGTCGTCCTTTTATGCAGGACAACATAATACTCGGCCAGGATTCGCCCGTTGCACATCTATGAACATAAAAAGTGAAATTTTAAAAAATGGTTTTGATATTAAATCTACTTTTACATACCTAAATAATAACATAAGGCCTTGTATAAAATTTCGGAAATTGTTGTGTCGATTGATAGACTCTGCTGGATTCTCAGCAATGTTTCCAAATACCTGATAAAATAATAATAACACAATATTAGTAAATTAAAAATGTTAATAATTTTGTGATTATTGACGTACTTGCATGCCAATAATAGCATAAATGAAAAACAGCATCGCTATTAGAAGACAGACGTATGGAAGAGCCTTGAAGCTTTGCACGAACGTCCAGAGCAGGATGCGAATCGTGTAGCCCTGCCGCAGGAGTTTGATAAGACGCGCCGCGCGGAACAACCGCAGAAAGCCGACGTTGATGAAATTGTCCTAGAAAAGCAAACCGCCATCTTGATACATGCACTCATCCACGTCAGACACTACCCATCAACTCCAACGAGGTATTTTATTAGTAATATTTAAAGTTCAAATGCACAATTCAGCTAAACATCGGAGCGCCGCACACTGCACACTAGCACTAGTTACTAATTAGTATTCGATTCAGTACGGTATGATTAAACACATACACACACACACTCACTACGTTCAACTGAAAGTTGGAAAATGCTCTCATGATAACAGATTCAAAAGATTGCACATTGGTCTGGCCTAATTTAAACCCAACCTTGTGGATACTTTGGAAGAAAGTGGGTTAGATCAATCACATAACCTCAATTCATATTGTCATGGCATTTGTCGTGCACAAAATGGCTGCTAGAAGAGGTTAACTAGTACGGTCTGCTTCAGTTTCCATTCTGTGTTTAAGTCAAGTGTAAGATTGAGTTTTGAACCTGTAAAGTGTGTTTTTGTTGTTTTTGAGTATCCAAAAGGTTAAATTAATTCTGTTGACACTAAAAACTAGAGGAGATTTAGAAGAACACCGTAAACTTTGAATCCAAAGCAGCTAGCCACAAAAATAACGAATTTATTTGCGTTCTGAGGTTAAGTTTGAGTATAAATTCGTTTATTTTTTATACTTTGGATGGATGAAAGTTTACTATATTAAGAATATCACATTGGCTACGCATCTACGCACTGTCTGCAGAGAAAACTGGCTAAAAAGACACATGACGTTTTCGGGCATATATATGGTTTTAGATTGGTTTGCAGGACAAACATACCCTCTGCGCAGACTCTTTTGACACTTTCGCCGCTGCCCTTTCCTTTATTTACAGAAAAATTCATCGACATCATCGACAGTCAAACAGGCAAAATAAAATTGAGATTTTCATTTGCTCAATTTTACTTTGAATAAAGAAAATTTAAGTAATTTTTGTTTTACTTACACCAAATTCAACGACCACCGCGTCGATAATACTGCCAACCACCGTGATCAAATCGAAGGTATTCCAAGGATCTTTGAAGAAGTTCTGTGGAATAAAACTTGTCAGTATACAAACATAATATTTATTTACAAAATTTTAAATTATAAAAATGTTTGCTTTGTACCTAACTTAAAAATATTATAATCCAATAGAATAAAACATTTAATTTAATATTTTTAAGTTAGATTAATGTTTGAATTTAAAATCAATTTTAGTTTTTTGTTCGGAGGGTAATTGACAAGGATATTATTGACATGCAATCTTGAGATATTCTACGACTGTAAGCGTAATTAAAATCTACGTTTCGAAGGCCTCGTTTTCAAGTGTCATAGATTGGAAAACGTTCAGCCGATTACAATATAATGAGTTGGCAAAAATTTCTACTGAAAATTTATGAATAAAAAAACAACTTAAATATTGATCTACAAAATGAATTATGATGGATAAAAATTAAGTGTGCTACATGTAAACTGATCTACGGTAGATAATGAGTTTTGGTCAACATGTCAAAAGTGGTTCCAGACGATTTTCACGAAGTGGTGTGCTTGCAAACCCAAAAATATAGAGCTTGATCTGGTGAATTACAAGTGTTTTGGTTTTGTACTTGTTGAGAGTTGATACAGAAATACATTATAGCATTATTATTAGTAATACGTAAGATTTGGTGACGTTACCTTGATTCCAAAAGCGATGAGCTTGAGTACGGTTTCACAAAGGAAGAGGAAAGTAAACAGAATATTCATTGCCGCCAGGGTGTCGGAGAGCACGGGTGGAGAATCGTGGTACTACAAACAACTTACATATGTAGCTACTCTGCACTACAAGCAGTCTGCCTACCTTCATTTCACATCACTTTTTGCTTTTTTTGCTCTCAAATTGAATAAATCAATCAAATCTTTGTTTTTTTTTTTGTAAATCAGTGGGTTGAAAAGTCGGCAGTCGGTTGTACGAGTAGAAGATATCCCGCGTTCCGCGCTCCAAGTCGCCGTGAGTAAATGTTTTTTATTTTTTGTGGTCGTGTATCGGTGAGTGTTGCTTTTCTCTGGTGCGTGTGAGTCGAGAGAGAGTGCGACACTTGCCAAGAATCGCTGAAAGCATGCAGTGGCACACAGCGCATGCGTATACATAAAATTGCCTGCAGAACTACACGCTACTTTCTACGCAAGAAAAGTTGCTTGCATGCATGCGACAACAAACGCCCAAAGCCATTTGTGAGTAGTTGTTGGGTGAGGTTAGGACTGTCGGGATATTATGAACATTGAGTTTTGACATCGAACAAACGTTTTAAGTAAATATTTTTGAAGTGATTTGGAAATAAAATATTGGTTTTTAAATAAAAGAATAAAATAAATTCCGGATGTTTTGAACGCTGGCGAGAACGCTAGATGTTCTTTTCTTACCCGCACGCCGTAGGCAAGAATCTTGAGGATGCACTCCACCGTGAACATGCTCGTAAAGCCCCAGTTGAGGTACTTAAGCGATTTCGAGAAGGTATCGGTTTGCCCATCATGCTGTTAACATACAGGTATTTCGTTTGTGTATGCTTTGCGATTCTCAGTTTCTCTCAGTGGAAATTAACAAGGAATTCAAAATGGCCACTAAACACTCCCAAAATCATCATCACTGCCAAGTGATGATAAATTTTGAAGCGTTCTAATGAGGAGTTGGCATTGTTATGTATCTGAGAGAGAAATTTATAGAATTGATTGTGAGGTGGAAAGGAGTGTGCACCGCAGCCACAGGTAGCCGTTAGTTCTGCAGTTGCCATTTTGTTTTCATCAGTCCCTTAACGCCACGAACAGGTAAACTGCGTGAAACGTGTGCACTGTCCCACCGCCAAATTAAGTTACGTTAGAATATCAACAACATACACATTTATAAGTTAAGACGCATGCTTTGCACGTAATTACACATCCTGGTCGGTCATTGCCGGAGAGCAGAAACTTCATCTCAATCAATTTGTTTATAATGGCATCATCAATCAAAGTGTGATTCGACTATGAGACACACGCCTATGACCAAATCAACCACATTACACATCACATATATCCTGACAAACATAAAAATAGTCAAATATTGCGGTTATGGGTGTAAAGCTGGTTGATTTGGTTAGAAAGCGCGCAACATGCCGATGATTTGATGACGCATTCGCAGGACACTCTCATTCTCGCCCAAACTCTTGATCAAGTTGTATCTAAACACGTATACATTCACACCGATAGGATTTGTTAGTTATTAGTAAGTAATAAGACGTGGTTAGTGATTGGTCGAAGCTAAGATTGTCTATACGGAGGAGTATTGATGTTTGTTGGGTTGCCTCACGCACACACCTTGCTCAAGATCGCTCAAACGACAATCTCGCATGAAAAATAAAGGAAACGAACGACACACATCAACGTTAACACTGACGGCAAGATGCTGTTCCGAGAATGTATGATTCATCAACAAGGTGCGTTTTGTAATTGCATAATATTTATAGTTGGGCATTCCGTTGGTGGTGTTAGATCATATATATATATAACATTGAATCGATTTGCGCTCCTCATTGCACAAATCTTACTAAAACATCAACTATTCATCATGTTTTTATCGCTATTCTAAGATTTACTAATTAAAACATAAATTGTTCAAGTTTTTGATTGAATAGTTGATGTTTATAAAAATTTAGTTTTTGTTCTGTTGCTGAAAAGCAATTGTTTTAAGGTGTTGTTAGTGTGCCTCCTTCACAATGGCGTCGGAGTTTGTGCTAACCGTGTTCTTTTGATTGATCCAGTTTGAGTTCGAGTTATTTTTAAATTTAGTAAATTTCGAATCCGACGTGCGTTGATCAGGCTGCCGACTTTTTTCAAATTCTTACGATTTACGATGCGTCATTATTGAAATATATTGCAACATGTAAGTAAGCAGTGAACGAGCAACATACCTTCATCATCAGCAGCAGCGTGTTGAACACAATGAGCATCATGATGAAGTACTCGAAGGGCGTTGAGACGACGACACGCCAGATCTTGTATTTGAAGCTATTCCGCTTGTTAGGCATATATCTTTCTAGCGGACGGGCTTGTATCGTGAAGTCAATACAGGATTTCTAAAAATTTACGCATTAGATAGACGTTAGTTGAGGTTATGTGTATTGGTACGCACCTGATTTTTATCAATCTCACCGCTTTGCAGTTCGGCTTCACCCTGTTCTTGAAATGTGATGATAATCAAGGCAACGAATATATTTACAAAGAAGAATGGAAACACTATGAAATACACGATGTAGAAAATGGACATTTCAATACGAAAATTTTGTATTGGGCCTTGATCCTCATATGTGGCAGCCATTGAATTTTGTAAAACCCTGAAGACATTTCGCATTAATTTTTCGGTTTGTCACTTTTATTACAAATAAAATACTTACTGTGGCCATCCTTCACCAGTTTGCACAGCAAATAGTGTTAACATAGCCATGGCCACGTCATCATAATGGAAACTCTGCAGTTTCCATTCTCTAGCTTCTATGCGGGGCACATCAGAGTCTTCCTCATATAAAAAGTACGTCCCCCTAAAATACAATACAATTTTTAGTTTTCTGAAACATAAAACTTTATAAAATGGCGCAGATACTCACTGACATGTCGATTCCGTAAATTTACTAGAATCAGTGCAGTGAAAAAACTTTCCGTTAAACAATTGAACGGCGATTACAGCGAATATAAACTGGAATAATATGTACACTATCAGAATGTTTATCACATTTTTTAATGAGTTCACTAAACAGTCAAACACTGCTTTTAATTTGGGCACTCGTTTAATTGTTTTTAAAGGTCTCAGCACTCGGAGCACTCTTAGGGATTTGATCGTCGACAGACTCGTAGATGTGCCCCTGTAAAACAATACAACTTTGGTTAGTTTTTGAATTGGGTTATGATTTGAGGTTAGGACGTACAAGAAATCGAATCCCATCGAAATGAGCGCGCAGACGACGACTATCGCGTCAATCAGATTCCAGAACTCGCGCAGATACGCGCCCGGATGCAAAATGATTCCCAGATCGATGATCTTGAGAAGCAGTTCGGTCGCAAACACGGCGGTAAACCCCAAATCCAAAACATCTAGAGCTTGATTTGTCGGCGAGTCTTCCACAACGGGATCCTCGCACGCTAACGCTATCGAACTCAGACTTATCACTATCATGATAAAAAAATCGAAGTACTTTAAATTAACTACCCAATGTGCCCCTTTTCTTACACTGCAACAGAAAGAACATTTCGAATTTGACAATATTGTTGACCATAATATTATTTCGGTAACTATAGTTTATCTTACGGATTTGTGGGTGATAGTATGAACATGCTAGAATATGGCAGCATAGGTTTGGGTCCGACAATTTCTTCTTCCTCTTCGGGTTTTTCATCTTTTTTCTTTCGGCGGCTTGTTGGTGAAGAGCTGCCATCTAATCGAGGCGCACCTAGAATTTTGCATTTTGTAGTAAAATGATGTTATGAATGAAGTGAATTGTATTACCTTCCATTTGCAACGCCTCCATCTCCTTCTCCAGCTCCAGTGCTTGCTTCTCTTTGTTCTCCTCAGCCTGTTCCTCTTCGGCAGCTGTGAGTTCCTGGGCGTTGGCTAAATTATCGACGGCGATAGCCAAGAACACATTGAGCAAAGTGTAGTTGCCAAACAGCATGAGAATGATGAAGTATAACGAGTAGATCATGCCGGATTTGTGACCGCCCAGCGCGTCAATGCCATAGTACATCACCTCGTTCCAATCCTCACCGGTTAAGATCTACAAGCAATCAAATTTGGATTCAAAGTTATTACTCTGAATAATTTTGATAAGACTCACTTGAAAGACGGTGAGTAGAGCGATGGGAAACGTGTTGAAGTTGGTGGGTGGCGTGCCCTCGTCAAAGTTGAACTGCCCGCCGAAGAGCTGCATGCCGAGCAGCGCAAATATGAGAATGAACAAGAAGAGCAGGAACAGCAGTGAGATGATGGAGCGCATGGAGTTCAGCAGCGAGATGACGAGATTTCGCAGTGACGACCAGTATTTGGTCACTTTGAAGATGCGCAGCAGTCTTAGAGCTCTCAGCACGGACAGGCCGAACGAGCCGCCCTTCACCTCCGACCATACCACCTCAAAGATGGATCCTGAGATGACCACGCAGTCGAAACGGTTGAACGCCGACTCGAAGTAGATCCGAGGTCCCAGTGCGTACATCTTCACCACCATCTCCAGCATGAATAGACCCAGAAATGCGTATTCAGCATAATCTAAAATTTATCATTATAAGAATTAGAATTGTGGTTTTTATTTGATGGTAGCAGGTACTTACAAAGAAAATCTGTAAGCCAATTTGGCTGGCCGTGAAATTCCGCCGCAACGCAGACAGTGTTGAAGAAGACGAGCACGATGACGAACCAATAGAAGCACTGCGTCTTGACGGCGTGCCTGATGGCGAACCGGAAGCGCTTCTCGGCGCGCCAGAAGGAGGCGCACCCGCCCGGGCCCTGTGCCCGGGTCTTCATGTAGCCGGCGCGCCCAAAACCTGCTAACAAAGTACGCCACTTTAAGCATGCGTCGCCAGCGAGTCGCGTCGCGACCTAGGCGTCAAGTCAGTCAGTGTGTGTCCAGCATTCCGAAATAAACACACACAGAGAGAAAAGGAGACATTTACATCGACACCATGACAGCAACTTGCGCGCATGGTGCCAACCAGTCACATTGCAAACAATTGCGTTCGGCGCGCACAAATTTTGCACAATAATTCGATCATAATCAGTGTGAGTGTGTGTTCGAATGGTTCGTTCAACTTCGAATCTAAACCAAACCCACCCTACTGGTCCTACGCAAACTACATCGCAAACGACTCCTAGTTGCTATGATAGGTTAGATCTATGTTCAGCTATCGCAAAAATGACTAGTGTATACAGTTAGTTTACAATTTACAAAAATTACGTTCGACAGAAGTGTCCCAACTCTACGGCAACCAAAAATCAAACCCAAAAACGGTACGATCTATGAAAAACAACAACGTGTGGCTAATAGACTCTAGAGAAACGATAATATTAGTAATGGTTAATATTAGTAATAGATCCAAAATGGCCGCCGCCTTACTAATAGTTTCTACTACGTTTTACGTCTTACTGCTAGTTGTTAGTAGTTATAAAATGTCAAGTTCAAAGTCTTACGCTCAACGTGATCCAACTACTCGCCAATGACAATAGAGAGAGTGGTTTCAGCCAGAAGCGTACGACACGCCCCTGGTACAGGGCGGTAAGTAAGTAACTCAATCTCTAATCACATAATCAACGTAAGTGTGAGGAGCGAACCGACAAAATTCAGGCAACACAAAAATGATCAAATCATACATCAAGCAGCTAAGGAGTCGGCGCCACAAGATGGCCGCCGTCGCTAATTGTATCATTTGCTAAACAACTAATCAGTGCAGTTTATATATCAACTAAACTAGTTCGTATCTGACGTGATTCGCTCCTCGAATAAAACGAAAGAAATAAAAACAAAAATAGTTGAGTTGAGTGAACAACTAAGAGTTAGTAATAGTAGTAGGTAATAATCAAAACTAGGATAATGAAAAGTTGTCCGCAGTAGGCGCTACAGAGACTCTCATTACGTTAATAATAAGTTAATATTAATCATACTAAACAAGTTCTAAGTATTTTTACATAATAATGTAGTGTCCACCAGTTCCGCATACCTTTTAGTTTTTTCTTAGACTCTGTAAGAAATACTGTGGATTAAAACATGACATCAGTTTAGTGCACATTGAAAACAAAAACAAACGAATAACAATCGAAAACCGAAATCTTCGGAAATCTAGATCTTTGCAACACATTTTTCTCTTTCTATTATTATTTTTTAGTTTTGGGGGATAAGATAACCAAAGTGATTGCAAATGACAAAGATGGTGGTCACGTGATAAAATAGTGCAGACAAAAAAGGAGGTTAATCGGTAAACAAATGGCGTTCGATATGAATTTTTGGCTAACATTGTGGTTGAATTTCGACTCGAATTCGAAGGTGGAGTGAAAAATGAAAGTAAGAAAAGTGACGAAAGTGAGATGGAGTCAATAAAATGATCGTACCATCGTCGCCCAGCTCTTCCTCCTGCTCCTCCTCCTCGGTATCCGTGCTTTTACTCTTGCCCATCTTTTTCAGCTTCTTTTTCTTCGCCGCGCGTCGACGCGCTTCCATTATGTGCATTTTTTCTTCTTCTGTCGTTCGTTCTTCAGCTAATATTACTTCCTCTGAAAAACGATTTTATTTTAGAGTGTGTATTGAACATTCACACTTTGTAAGCTTATAATTGAGGTTATGACTCACCAGCTTTGCAAATCCATTGCACATAGCCATTTAGCTCTCTTTCTAACTGGGCAGCTCGACGTAGCTTTAAAAACTCTTGCCTGTTTTCTACTTTTTCTCTTTCCTTGGCAAACTCTCTAATTTTGGGAGAAAGCAGAATAGCATACACCAAATTACTTTTAGCTAAACCAAAACTAAATAACTAGGTATAAATATATCTAGCATGTGTTTTAAGTATCGATAAATAATTTTGTGACTAGATTAAAGCAAGTTTAGCATAATTTTCGCATTGAGGCTTCGGTGATTTTCACCTGCCCGTGTTATCCACTCCAGATAGCGTTCAAGAGCCTGCTGAAACTGCAGTTTCGAGCGCACTTTGTGGAATTGAGCACGCCGCTCAACGCGCAGGCGTTCATTAGAAAATTCGCTATAATAAACCAAAAACTTGGTGGTGTATTTAAAGTTTAGAACAAAAAATAACGAGTGTGGCTTGCTTTTCTGTTCGTGACGCCAGTTAGGGACATGAACAAAAGTCGAAGGTGGTGAAGTGTGGCGCTGGAAAAAAATTACGTGCGCTTGGCGAGATCGCCAGCGATAACATACCCGCTAAGCACACCGAGCACCAGATTGAGCATGAAGAACGAGCCGAGCACAATCAGCGGCACGAAGTACATCCAATTGAAGTAGCTGCCGACTGCATCGTTCATCTGCGGACAGACGGAGCGGAGCGGAACGTGAGCAAGATTTCATTTTCAGCGGAATGTGTTTGCACAAAAGCGGCCACCGTCGAATATAACGAGGATAACAAAGGCGCCTGCTTTATTTGGAGAGGATGAGTGGAAGATTCATGCACGGAATGATTGCTCGCGTCGAGTTTTCAATCATCAAGAATATCACATCATCTTCTAGGTTAAAAGAAATACAGTTGTTGAAAAAATAGTGAAATGTAATGTTGGTTGCCTATGTTTCAGACACTTGTAGTTCTTTTAATCAAGAGCGGATTGTGTTGAGGAAATTTATGTTTAATTTCTGAAAAAGGTCGAGGAAGCAATTCGGGTTTGGCGTACCCAATACAGTATCGAAGTCCATCCCTCCATGGTGATACACTGGAACACGGTGAGCATGGCGAAACCGATGTTGTCAAAGGAGGTGATGCCATTGTTCGGACCCTGCCACCGCTCCAGACACACCGAGTTGCCGTCGCGACACCAATTGCTCCCCTGCAGCTCCGCCTGCGATTGATTATCGGTGTTGCAGGGTGCCGCTGCGTCGCCCTCCTTAATAATTTCATCTGCTCGGCGGCGAGAATAAATAAAATTAAATCAAGTATAATCGCCGCGATAAGAAGTCCCGCCGCCGCTGCCTGGGTTGCCTAGATGGAGTGTGTTTGAGCTTGTTGAGGAGTTGCTATCATGGCACACGAAGGGTGAGGAGCGGCAAGGTGTGTGCGACACATGCGCGCCTTCGCGTTCACGGTTCGATGCTCTGCGCGACTTGGACTAGGACCGAGGCAACGCAGGCGGCGGCGGAGGCGGCTATACGAGCGTCTTTGCGCACACCGCTCGGCCCGGTTAGCCGTTGAGATTTATGGTGCTTTTTGCCGGATTGCTTATCTTCCGCACAATACCGTGCGATTCAATGAATCATATTGCAATGATGTTCAAGAATCAAGACTATTAAGAAAATCACGCAAATACAATCCAGAAAAAAACCGCTAAACTCGATTATTTGCTCACCTATATCATAGAGACTATAACAGGTTCTGTGTAGCGCTCCCGAGTAGAATTCTAAACCAATGATCGCGAATATAACGATGGCAAACAATACTAACAAACCGATCTGCAGCAAGGGAGCCATAGCTTTGATGATGGACTTCAACACGACTTGGAGGCCTAAAATTTCACATCACACACGTTAACTACATTCAAATCAATCGGTTTCAATGCATTCATAGCTTCACATCAATGTAATAAATGCTAGGAAGCTATGAACACACCGGGTTTACTCAAAAACTAAATTTCCATCTAAGAAACCAACCAATACAAAATAAAAACCAGTGAGTTTTGTATTTTTACAGTAGTTTCATTTGGTGTAAATTCAACAATACGATAAAAGACTAAAAGTTGGGAGAACTGAAATTGGTCGGGTGTTATCGTTGTAATGTAAATATTATACAAACACACACACACACGCACACGAAAAGTGTGAAACACAGACTTCTGAATACATCTAATTGTAATCAATAAAGCGTCTCAATTACGAAGCGTACTAATTTTATGTATCACTAATTAATTAATTATAGAGAAACTCGATACTACTTTATACAAATTCGATTGTATGTCTATATGTTTTTTTTGTTATCTAGAAATTTTGCTTACTTTTCGACTCGAACTTCAAAAAAATCTGATCTGATTCACCAATCGAATTAATTTTGAGCAATGCGCGGCGATCAACAACGGAAAACAATGAAATGACGCACAAAGCGTTTGCGCCTCATTAATTAATCGATAGATTAAAGATAGATTACGAATAAAGACAATTCGGCGCTGCTTTTGTGCCCGCAACAATGCTCATTGTGAATTTTATGATTTTTTTTTTAAATAATTTGCTATTTAAGTGGAGATTTAAGTCATGCTTTAACTTTAACCCGATGGTAGGTAAAATATGTGGTTAAACACTCTGCAAATAATCTCTAAAGATATATATATTACTGTAATTAATATGTAACAACACTACAATTGTACAATCGTCATCGCATCAAAACGTTACGTTACTAGAAAATCAATAAGAACAGGGTTTGTTGTGCAACTAGTTTGATACCAAAAAACGTAATCATCTCATTATCATCGACTCGTTTCTCAACTAAGTTTACTTTACTCACTAAAGTACGTATTTAATAAAGAATTGTGTTTCTTTTTTTCTTTTTAGATTCGAAATCATTATGAAGAGCATTTCGTTGTATTTTTCGTTCGTTTAGAGATGTATCCAAGGAGTGTATTTATTTTGATTAGAATAGAGCATAAATCTCCTCTCAGGTGAAAGCAATCAGATTTTTTCTGTTTATATTAAGTTAATTAAAATATTACCTCAGGTGATACTTAAATATTCGTATTTCACGTTTGATAAATGTTTTGAAAATTAAGTAAATCGCAGCAATCGCCGTGGACGACAATAATAAAAGTTGCTTTTTTTTTATTAAGGATAAATGTAAATAAAAACGAAATTAATTAAAACAATGAGGTTAGGCGGGGGGAATAAATAGGTATTGTTTTGTTTAATCATCTACTTACTAGGAATGCCAGAGACTAGCTTGAGAGGTCTTAGCACTCGAATGGCGCGCAACGTGCGCAGGTCCACCGCTATGATTTCCTGAGGGAACATCGTTATAAACCTGCAAAATACTAGCCTCCAGCAATCTACTCCAATCGCTATGTTCTGTTTACAACTAATAATCAACAAATCAAGGAAACCAAAAAATATAGAATACTTAAATTTATGTAACAACACGTCCTAGAAATCGATCTGAATCAATCGCTATAAATCGCTGAAACTATAAAATCGCTAAAGAATTCGGTTGTCCTCATCTACTTTGGTCTGGCGGTCGTCATGGAAACAGCTGTAATATTCTAGTGCATGAAATAAATCGAAAATAAACCGAACGAAAACTAATTAAAAGCATATGAAATAAAACACAATCCAAATACAACACAAGACAATTACAACAAAATGTAGTTTGGTAGAATTGTTCGGAATTAAAGGGATTAAAGTTCGATGCGAGATCATCGCGGTGTTTGCAGCGCGGAAATCGACGCCGAAACTTTCGCGTTTCCGAGCGATTCTCTTTCTTTTGTTATGATAAACAATGCTCGATGCGCTAAGTGTACAATGTTCGGCGGGTGCCTGCGTGCCCTGATGGTGAAATATTAATTTCCTGCGTGCGACATAATTAATTATAATTGTAAAATCGATAAGTGCGCCGCGCACTCGCCGCCCGAACCTCGGGGCCGAAAAAACGACGACGTTACGACATTATTTTCTTAGTACAAAAAGACTTTATAGAGGAAATCGACAGAGAAACTTATGTACAGAAAACTTGTTGTGGTTCACACACAATCATTTCATGGTTATTCTTACAGTTTTTAATTAATTACTCAAAAACCGTTGGCGATAAATGATAAATTTTAACAAAAATATATTCTGTATTAAATTCTGCATCTAATAATGTAAAAATTGTGTATTCGATAATTAAACATCGAGTTATATACAATTGAACTTAGATGTAGTAGAAAATTGCAAGATTCTCGTGAAACATGCAAAATTGTGAATTTTGAGTAATTAGAAAGCAATAGATTAATAAAATGAAAGAAAATTTATACGGAATTTAATTCTGTGTCTCATTATTAGCAACACTTGTTTATCTAATAATTTTACTAGAGTTATAAGCAGTTAAAGTTAAATTTAGTAATAAAAATATGTAATTTTGATGTAATTAAAAAACCTGAACATTTTGAGGTTATAATTAACTATAAAACATCAAATAAAAGAAAAATACATTCTATATTAAATTCTGCGCCAAATTATATCAAATTTCGGTTGGTACAATAATTATGGATAGAGTTATAAACAATGAAAGTTGGATTTAGCAAAAAAGTGAAAAATTCTTTGTAATATCCAACAAAAATGCAATTTTTGAGCAACGAGAAACGATAAAATATTAAATTGACAACAAAATATATTCTATATTAAATTCTGCATCTAATTTAATTAAAATGTAGTTTGTCCGATAGTTATGTACAAAGTTATAAAGAAAAAAAAATGAAATTTAGTAACACAATAAAAGATTCTTGACAATCTCACACAAAAAAAAACAATTTTTGTGCAATTTATTAGTGATAAAATGTAAAATTGACAAAAAAACATATTCTGAATTAAATTCTACATCCAAATATAGCCATATTTTTGAGTAATTAATTTATTGAAAAATATTAAGTGTGCTTACTGTCAAACAAGGTAATGCCTTATTTAATGCTTTCAAACTCACGCAATCGATATGAACGGGTGAGGAAAACAGAGAAAACACTTCGTTTTCATCGACGCAAATAGTCAATAAAGCAATCAATGTGATTTGTTTATGTACAAAGTCAATTCTAACGACACAAACACAATATATATCCATTCAAAGGTCAGATTCGTATTCGTACTCTTAGTGTTTCAAATTTGGTTATCACTCATCATAATGATTTTCTTTCTTTTTCGCATTAAAAACAAATCAATCGTTAATTAAACACGTGCTATGTTCGTCATAATTATATGCTATATATATATTTATATGTATATATTTATATAAAAACTACAATGAAATGCAATCGAGCACTGTCCATCTACAAAAAAACATGCATACTGGCTGAGATCGCAAGGATTAATCAACGCCACTTGATTAATCACGCTAAGAGTGAGAGTAATTCACCAATGTCAATACGAAAAAATTAATCAAAGGTCAAATTTAGAGGTTTAGTCTGACACGAAATATATTTATATTATATATATATATAGACACCGACTAAAACAACGCACACCTGCAAACGCACTGAATAATCGTTACAATTTTACCTAAACTACTGGTTCAAAATCAAATAATCATAAGAAATTAAACAGGGAATAATTAATTAATTTTTTTCTTGATAATTTTGCAATGAAATTAAATTCAAAAATAAATCATGATGTGAAACTCAGTAGACGGTACTGTAGAGTACTGTATTCATCTAAAACTATGAAAGAAAGAGCTAAGTAATATTATTGTTACGATCAAGTCTCTAGTTCTGTGCTACAGCGGGCCCACTGAAATAGAGCTAGACAGAAAGACAGTCAACTGGCAGGTCAAAAAGAAGTCAAGAAGACAAGAAGATAGAGATAGAGAGAGAGCGTGTGTGAACGAACTGTATGCTATTACGTGTGAGAGTCGTGTATGTTGGTTAAGTTGTTCAGTGTGTTTTTTTTTTCACATTTGTACTTGTTTGGTATACGCAACACTAGTAGTTCGCTAAGTAAAGTAAAGTAGTGACTTAGTGGAGATGATTGGGCGGAGTGGGCGGGCTCGCGAACATACTTGGGATCCTGGACACCAGCTTCAACGGCCTCAACACGCGAAACGACCTCAACATCCGCAGATCAACGTCAACGTTCGCTTCGGCAAAAATGGTCATCGACCTGAGCGAAGACAGCAACAGTTTACTTTTTCGGCACAACATCAATAGGTGAATATAGATACAGGCTACACATCAAGAGTCACACGCATTAAAAACGTTCATACGTAGTGCATTCATCAATTTATTCACGTTTATTATCTACGTATCACTAATATGGGTGGAGGTTTTGTTTTTCGATTTCGACGACCTGTCAAAAGAGTGCGGCTGTCAAAAAATCGGGATTTCGACAGCGCTAAATCTGAATTATGTAATTATTACGCTTATTTTAACAGTAACAGTTTGGTTATTGGTAGAATAGGTTTTGAACACTTACCCTGTGAGCACGACAAAGAAATCCATAATGTTCCAAATGTTTCTGAGATATGATCCTCTATGTAAAACGAAACCTAATGCTAGAATCTTCAACGAAGCTTCAACACAGAATATTCCTAGAAAGTATGCCTCTGTTTTTTCCTGTGCGAAAGAAAAATGTGTTACAGTGTGTTTTAAATAATTTTTTCAAGTTTTCTTCCGAAATTTTGAAAATACTCACTAATTTTTGTGCTAGCATAGTCTTATCATGATTGGGCAGGTGCTCCTCCAGCGCCAGCACCACACAGTTTGCTATGATTGTCGAAAGCACGGCATACTCAAACGGAGTAAATTTATCATTAAGGAAAAACATTTGAATTATTTTAGAAAGTATGCAACCAAGTTTACATTTATGCAAGTATGGGTTATTTTAAAATAGTGTTAGATTTGTAAACATGTTTGCTTTTGGAAAATTTTGTGTTATTGCGGATCATTTCCGGATTTCCGGTTGGTGTGAATGAGTAAGAAAAGGATATGGCCACTCGATGATGAAGCGCGTGTATCTACGGATGAAATTCTCGTCGGACAACAGGAAGAGCGAGCTGGGCCCCTGGCCGCCCGCTTCCCTCACACCCCCCATTCTATCAGCTGCGCCCGCCCCCGCCTGCTGCTGCACCGCCTGAGCCGCCGCTTCCTGCGCTGCGGCCAACCTGAAAAATTCAAATACAAAAAATTTTAAAAATCTGTATAAAGAGTTGCATACATTATTATTGTGTGACGTGTATAACCCACTTTTACATTGATTTAAATTTAGTAATATCAAAGAATATATTAGTAAGTGTAACACTTTGAGGCCCGCTGCTCAAAAACACCGATAGATAGGTTTATTTTTAGTCGCATGCCTACCGGTTGAACTTTTAAAATGTCACATCTTTTATCGATTGATTTCGGCGCGGCCTACTGAACACTCCACTCACCTTCGCCGGCTGCCACGAAACAGGAAGTCGTGAAATTACACGCGAAAAAGAAACTTTCCCTTCGATAACAAGATGAAAAACGCGGACGCGAGCGATTTACAATGTATAAACTGCATATTGCAGAAAAGTGTGTTGCATATCTCGAAAAAAACTTCCGGTTTGCTTTGATTTTTGTATCTTTCATCTATATTTATGCGGCGCAGTGGCGCATAAACTAATTTGTCTTTATTAATGCCGCTTGTTTCAGTTTATAAGTTTCATCATGTTTTGCAGAATTGAGTTTTCCGCGGCTTGAGACTCGAGAGGACATGCAAATGTTGCATTTTCACTTTTTGCTCACCAGTGAGTCAATGTCGCGTTCTAATTGAAGCATTTGGCAGCCAAGCCGCACTCTCAGCGTCGTGCTCGTCCTCGCGTCCTTTTGAGTGAATCAGAGTGGACCGCCTTTCCGGCGGCGTAGCGCGGCGCGTGATAATGAAGTCAATGTTAAGTGTGGCGCAAAGTGGGAAAAAGTGGGATTAAAATGTGCGCATTTTTTAAAAATTCCACACCGCGAGGACATCTCTGATAACCGGAACAAAAAATTAGCTGTGTCAGTACCTTTCTTCTCCAACAGCGTCATAAAAAACATAAAAGGGCAAAGCATAAATTTAACAACGCCCTAAATACTCAAATATTATTATTATGAATTGAATTAATTTAATTTGAAACTTTCAAGGATTTAATACATATAAAATTTTTATCTGTTTGTCGCCATGACCTAAAAAATCCTCTCGAGTTGTAACTAAATTCGGTGTAATTCACAATCAATCGCCAGGATTAACTGGGTTGGCGGGCGCCGTCTGGACCATTCGCAAGAAGCGACGGCGGCGTCGTCTGGCTGGCCGACCTCATCATACCCGGATGAATTACACGCTGGCAGTGCGCGCACACACATAAATATATTACGTCCCGCCGCCGCCCCCACCGTCCGCGCATTTGGTACACATTCGTGCCGCGACCGGGAAACTCCGATTTCCGAGTTATAGTTTTACACGCTCGATGCGCTCGCACGTGCTGGACGTGCCGGCCGTCGTCCGTCCGCGCCCTCCGCCTGCCGCCCCCGACAACATATGCATTCGGGCGGTCGTAAAAAGTACTGCGCTATAAATACCCACGCGACACTTAATTGTGTTATCCTGACGCATTCTCAAGGATAATAATTGAAAGTGTGAAATATTTATGCTTATTAGTGTGAATTTACGTTTTGTAGGTTGGGTAACGGTATAACCAATGTTTAAGAGTAGATAAAAATAAATTGTGAGTGAATTTGTTTTGTTATTGATACTTATCGAGTTCCACTTAAAAGAAATCAGTCCTCATTAATGTGTAATTTATATTTTTACCCGACACTGGCCTACTTGAGCCAAAAATACCGCAAAACCACCGCCAATCCGTCTGAGCGATGGCGGTCGACCGTGTAACACTTAAACAACGACGGGGGTGGCACGATGGCGGCGCAGTGCAACCTCAAGTAGCGCACGACCGCTAAAAATACGTTTTCAACAAGTGATCGTTTTTAATTAGAATCAAAAACATAAATATTTACATAAGTAAAGCAAATATTTAATTTTACTGCGCATGCGCATGTTTAACCCATGCAATCCATTTATTTTTACAATTACTGTTAGAAAACACTAGAAATATATGCAGATAAAGTTATGATGTAGTTGCTGAAATGACTTTTCAGCGAGGGGCGGCAAGAAGACATGACGCCGGCTGAATCGGCGAGGTCGGTCGAACTGATTTATCGCGTCGCGAGTGGCGTGCGCTAATCTCAAGCAGCCCGCTCAAGACCTCTTGGCATTCGGCCAGTTCGTTATTTATCATGCGCCGCCGACCCGACCGCCAACCACGCCGCGAATATTTAAACAATATATCTCGCGAGCTGCTCGCCTAGCATCACCACGCATCTCGCGTCTTATTGCACGCCGGCAGTTCATTATACATATAAATATATCAACTTGATCAACAAGAAATTGCTTGGCGAATGCTGAAAAGTAGCAGCAATCATAAATTTCTTCTTGGGCGTGGAGAAAAAATCTGTGATAGTGACGAGCAAATATCATCAATAATAAATTTACGGTGAGGAATATGTGGATGATATTTGAATAGTATTGCAATCAATATTTTTTAATGTTGGCTAAGTACGAGAGTACATGATTTATGTGGTTATTGCAGTATAAACAAAGCAAATAAAAATGAAAGATGATTTACTTGAGCAACTGACGTAAAGCTTCGGTGATCATAACATAATCACGTTATTTTCATAGAGATAATGTTGTTTTATCAGTAAATGGTTTGTGGGGGTTAATAATGCACTTGGACGGCATCTCAATCATTGGAATTTTAGGTTTCGTGTCATATTTAACCTCAAAATACACTTTTATCTAATTGCGACCAGAAAATAAGAGCTGTTAACACTGTACATTGTGAAAAATATATTTTTCCTACTTCCTCCTTTAAAACGCCAGTTTTCCACGGTTTTTAGACACAAAAAGTGGTACTTTAAACACGGACAGCCAAGGCCGTTAGTAAAGTACTTTCCTTTACGGGCTTTATTTACGGGGCGGAGCTTGCGCCGCCATTCACACAAGTCAAACCAGGCGCTGCTGCAAGTCGTGTTTAAATTACATTTCCCAGTAGTATGCAAGCAAATTTCGAAGATTTAAATTAAAAAAGTTCAAATATAAAAACCTAAACGTGGAACTAGAGTGGAAGTAGAAAGAATAGCGTAAGCATCGCGTGGCTAAACGTTGTTAAACACTGGATTGCTTAAACGCTCGCCCTGAATCAATGTCGTGACTAAAACACTCGTTTAGCCACTTGATACTTAATATATTATTTTGTAGATGTTTTCCTCAAAATGATCAAAAATCTATAAATTAGCTAGAAATAACTGTCAGTTTTCTTGTGTTGGGTGACAAACAAACTGCCTAACCTCACTTTTACCAAAGTAACTGCATCAATCTACAAGTATCTATAAATTAAAATAATACTTTTTTTAAATCTTGAGGAGATATTATGACTTTTTGTTTAATGTTGTTTAGAAAAAGTAACTTTGTAGCAATAGCGATAAATATATCATAATTTGTGGCTTTCTAGCTCAGTACGCGTGTTTCCCGACTAAGTAGCAGGTAGTTTTGTGCCTCGTGTGAAATTATTGAACAGTTTCGAAAGCTTGAAGGCTCCGCTTTGCATTATTATAATAGCGCGCGCGCCCGGCACCTCCACCACAACGCGCACCGCAGCACTCGCTAGTCACCTTTCGCCGGCCGAAGTGTATTGACCCGCAATGAATACACGAATCGCGTGGAGGTTTTTCCGCTTGCCGCCGCTATCGCCGCCGCTACATAACCCGGTTTTTACCGCCGCCGACGCAGTGGAAGCCGCATGAAACGCGCGAAAAGTTGACGATTTGAAAAACTTTTATGAGAAAACAAAGTTGAACACAAAACAATACAATATTATGCTTATAATATATAATTAAATACAATTATATCATACTGTAAATAGTAAATTTTGCGGTTTTACTAATTTATTATGAATTTTAAGGTTTTCAATTTTTTGTGATTTTTAAGAATTTGTGAATTTTTGGTTTTATTTCAGTCTTATAGAAGAGGAAATTCCTTCTAGGTTGGTTTTGTCGTTCCGCGCCGCACACGAGTCGACTCGAGTGCGCGCTGCCGCCACTGCAGTTATGTGCGTATCGATCAGCGCGCCGCCGCCGCCACCGCCGCTCGCTCGCTAGCTCGCCGCTCGCAGCTCGCGCCACGTCACGCGATAATATGGCCGCTGTGACGTCACTTTGCAGCTCTCTGCGTCACCCTGTGTGTGTACACGTGCTTTGGCGCGGAGGGGGTGCGATGCCGATGTCGGCGGCGGCTGGAGCACGCTACGCGTGGGATGCGAAACGGTGGAAACCTGCTGAAATGCGTTTCGAATGCTGCGAACGCCGAGAAAACTGATACGTCTGTTTTAAATTTATAATGGCGTATAATCAACCAAAATGGAGACATTCTCTGCATTCATTTAATTTGATTGGATTACTTTTACATCAAAAAAATAATAAATATTTTGATTGAATATTAGATCAGATTTTTAAGTTGATGTAAAATTTTGCTTAATTTTCAATTAGCACACGTGTTGATTTGATATGTGCGGTGAACGCCAACCACGAAAATTTCAATTATAGTTTCGGCTACGCCGCCCCGCATGTTGGGCGTTTTTGGACGTAAAACCGCGAGAAATATGCCGTGAACAATGCCAGCCAACTGCCCGGCGCCTTCACCATCGCACTTCAACTCGCTAAACTAGCGTCCGCGTCTATTAAATCCGATAATGCAAACGGATTATGTAAATTGTTGCAACCGTTTTGGCAGCTTAGCACATTCCGGCGGGGTGGGCACCCCTTGTTTAATGAATTCGAATAATTAACCGACGCACCGGCGACAAACGCGCCAAACGCGCTGCAAGCAATAAAATACGATCGTTAACAATGCGCCAGCAACAATAATTAATCATTTAATTAACATTATTATTAATATTTTCTAATTTATTGTTTTAGCCACAGAAAAAGAACTATAATAGAATAAACAAACATTTCATGATTATGAGAGCGTGAATATGTGTCAGATGCAGAAAATTATCGATTACTGACGCATACGGTTTTATTTTGACAAGCTCAAAACGGA